CTTGATTGAGTGCATAATTCAAGAATGGAATTACAATCAAGACACTTGCACCATGTGCATCCAGGGCCGTTTTTATCAATAGACTGACTAGGCTGCGTCCTAGGGTCCTGCATATATAGGGGCCCCAATATGTCAAAAATTTCAGAATTTTTTACTATGACTAAAATAAGTGACTTAATTTGAAAAAATTTTAGTTATAAAAAGGGCCCCAAAAACATAATTCATCCTAGGGCCCCCAGAAGTGTAAATCTGACCCTGTGTGCATCTTATACAGGGAATGCCCAAATGTGTGGCTTAAGTAATAAGCAGCAACGGTGGTTACAACAAGTATTGACTGTTGGATCTGCTGATAGTGCATGATCCAATTAGCTGCTGATAGTGCATGATCCAATGCTGTTTAGATACATAGTAATATAAACTGAACGTAGTTTCGTATATGTAGATTTTGTGTATTATTACTAAAAGCTTATTAAAATCTCAAAACATTCAAATACAATAATAGAAAATCTAAAATCATACAATTTTTGAATATTCTAGCTAAAGAAACACATGCTGAATGCTAAATTTTGTGTTTTTAAATTTTGTGTTTTCTTAAATGTCTAAAATGTAAAGATTTTGTAAACTTACAATTTGATTCATCTAAAAAGCCTTAATTTGATTCATCTAAAAACCTTGGTATTGGACTAAAAAAGCAAGCCTTGGTATTGGACTAAAAAAGCCTTGGTATTGGACTAAAAAAGCCTAGGACTAAAAAAGCCTAGGTATTGGACTAAAAAAGCAAGCCAAGGTGTTGGACTTTGAAACTTGTTGCAATTGTTGTTAATGAGAAACAGTTTATTTATTTATCTACTACTATTGCTAAAAATAACTCTAATACAAAACAAAATAATCTAGTTAAACTTGTGTTTGACCACTTGACGAAAATCCTAATGTTGTAGAATTTTCAAATTGAGTAAAAATTGCCATTAGTTATGTATGTGCATCAAAAGGTTCATGGTACAAATTCCAATCTTCGAAATTTTAAAATAATTAAAATAAAAAATTTTTTTTTTAGCTTTAAATAGTATATTATACAATATGAGGAAAAAAAAAAACATTTGTAAAAGTTGAATACAGGTTTTTTTTAATTACTGTACTACCACCTTAAAATAGTTTCAAGTTTGCTGAATCTGATATGTCTTATCCATAATTATTTTTAATCTTTTATTTTTTTAACAATTTATTAATAATGTGAATGAAAAGCATATATAAAATCACTTAAATTGAGTATATATTTTTTATACCTTTTAATTTTGTTTAAAAAAATTAACAAAAACAATTAAGTTACTTAACTGTTAATTTCTAATTTGATTAATTTGTAAAAAGCTGGGATAGATTGGCTGATCAAACTTCAATAACTCCTCAAGTAAACGCCAAAAAAAAATTTGGTTTGTAAAATTGATATACATCTTATCTTTGAGAAAAAATAATTTTTTTTTCTATCAGTCAGATTTTTTTTATAGCTATAATTGTCAATGCCTTTTTTTATTGTCATTTTTAAATACATTTTATGAATCCTAGAATAAACTGCATTGCATTGCTTCGAGAGATACAAAACTTAAATTTTCGGACTTAGCAGGTTTTAAGCTCTTTTGGTACCAAGTTTCCAAATTGCAGCATTACTAAAAGCACCATATAAAGGTAATAATAAACAGAAACATTTTTGGCATTTAAACCCTTCATTTTTTAGTCAAAATCAAATGAACGGATAAGAATTTTATAAAAAAAAAACGGATAAGAATTTTATAAAAAAAATTTACAGTCTTTCCTAAGTTTTTTCTCAAAACATTTGTGCCAAATTTCAGAAAATTTGGTGATTATGGTGCAGATTTGCGTTTTTTGAAAATTTTTTACTTGTATTTGTAAAAAAAGCTTCTTGTTAATGTTATAAAATATTTTAAATATGTCTGTCCTTTTTCCAGCATAGCTAATTTGTTATTAAACCATAAAGAACTTTTTTAACTTTAAATTATTTGTTTTGGAATGAGACTGTTTTTTTGGTTGATTAATGAATCATGAAATAAATTCTGAGTCAGAGTTGACTTATTGTACAGTCTACTAAACCAATCAACTGATTTCATTTTGAAATTGAATTGATCATAGTTTCCATGAAAGTATTGATGAATGATATATTTTTTTATAGTTGATGGAAAAAGATAATAACTGATGATGACTGTTCCCAATAGGTTGCTTGTGATCTATATCAGTAATCATGTTGCAACCTGAAGACATAATGAAATCAATTAATATTGGTAGCTGATTGTAGCTGTGATGATTTAAATCGCAAAATGTCAGAGGTGTATGCTCATGGTCATCCGGTGGAATGGGACAACTTGTTTTTTCAAAGGGCAACTGATATTTTAAAAAAATACATGTCAACAGCCCGGCAGGATGACCAGGCAGTTTTTACTTACAAAAGAAAGTTTAGGAAAGTTTAAGTAAAAAGAAAGATTCTATTTAAAAGAAATCTTTGAAAAGCATTTAAAGTAGTATAGACTTTGTTTAATAATAAATACACTTAAGTGTGTTATGTAATTTTATTAAACGTAATAAAAAGAAGTGATTTAATATTTCTAGGTGCAACTGAATTGTTTTTTTTAACGATGTTCTAGCATTTTGAAGCAATTTTTTTCTCAATTTAAAATGAATTTTAAAATGATTTTTTTTTTTCATTCGAAATGCTAATGTATCAATTTTTTTAAACATTATAGTCGCATTTTAAACATGTGAATCGACAGTTGAATCATTAATAACACTGAATCTCTTTAGTTTTTCATATATAAAAAAAAATTATTTCAACTTTGTCAAACAAAATTGTCAAACGTAATAAAAATTGTCAAACGTAATAAAATTGTCAAACGTAATAAAAAACATTGTTAATATGCACAGGAAAAAAAACATTATTTGAATGAATTTAATGATGCACAAAAATTTAAAATTAAATTAAAATTATTAAAAAATTATCTTAAAACCATGGAAATTCTGAAAATCTTAGGGATCGACCATAAATTACCCAACGCAAAAACTTATTTTAAAAAACTTCATTTAAGCAGCAATTTTCATTAAACTTAATGATTTTAATTTTTTTTTAAACTTAATAAGCTATTTCAATTTTTAAAACTTAAAGCTCTGCGAGGGAAAACTTCTGATTTTTTTTTGTTCATTAGAGTTGCGTAATTTACAAACGATTCCTTATTTTAATGATTAAAATAAAAACATGTTTTAAACATTCAACTTAATTCTTTTAAATTTAATTTTACAACAAATTGATTTGCAATCGCTAAAAATTTTTGAGAGTAAGGTGGCAATGAGAATATTTCATATATAAATCAAGACTGCACAATTACATGTATCTGATTCTATATTGGTAAACAGAACAAAATTATTGAGCTCAAATCCGAAGATCCAAAGATCGTAATTAAGGCAACACTCAGAATTTGGAAAAAGGAGGTAAGCAGTTTATTGCCAACCTCAAACTGCAAAAAAAAAATTGACACAAAGGGGTTACCATAAAACTTAAAAAACGAGGTTGGCAATTTTTTCAAATAATTTTAGGTTGGAAGTTAGATTAGCATAGCAGAATGCTGACCCTAATTTCGAGGGCTGATTTAAAGGTTGATGTTTTTTGGTAAGATTTCTGTAAGACAAATAATATCAGGGGGAAAAGATTAAATTAGGCTTGATAATTCTGGGTATTTATGTAAGAACAGGTCCATGTTAGAGTAAAAGCAATAGATTTGTTAGAGAGTGTTATTCTAGAGCTTGGTTACTGAGATATCGATCCACTTGAATCAATTTTGTTTTTTCTTATTTCTTTTTTTATTGATAAGTTTTACAGTGAGCCCACAATTCAAATAAATGATTCATTTTCAGTATCTTTTGATATCATACTTTTCCGAAGTCTAAATTTATTTAAATGTGCACATTCTTTTTTTTTTGATAGATCTTTTTTTAATGAATATATATTTAAGAAAAAAGATGAATTTTCAGAAATATAATTAAAGAAAACATTTAATGGCAAGAGGACTCAAATGGAGAAAGAAGGAAGGTATGCATCGATAGTGCAGTGAAAGTGTATTAAAAATAATAACAAATATTATAACAAATATTATAAGAAATATTTAAAATATTGTTTTTAATGCAGAAAAAAAAAAAAGAAGAGCAAAAACTTACACCTTAACTTTTTAAAACAAAGTTAGTCTCTTTACGAAAATTAGTAAAAAAATCATTTTTTATTTTAAAGTATTAAACATTATATATAAATACTTTTTTATTAACATATAATTATGTGCTTTTTATAATAAATGTAAAAATTAAAAATAAGAAAAAAACAAATAAATAAAAGCAATAATAAAGACTTAAATAATTTTTCTTTTTTTCTATATATGCAATTATGTTTACTAGCGTGCGTTTATATAAAAACTTGCTATTTTTGAATTGGTAAAAAAAAATAATATTAAATTGGTGTATTTATTAAACAATCATTAAAAGTAACTTTTTATTTTCCCTTTTGTTAAGATTACTTTTAAATAAAGTTTTATATATATATATATATATATATATATATATATATATATATATATATATATATATATATATATATATATATATATATATTTATATATATATATATATATATATATATATATATATATATATATATATATATATATATATATATATATATACATATATATATATATAAATATATATATATATATATATATATATATATATATACATATATATATATACATATATATATATATATATATATATATATATATATATATATATATATATATATATATATATATATATATATATATATATATATATATATATATATATATATATATATATTCTTATATATCCATCCTGGGACCTGATGTTTGCCTTATTTTTAAGCTTGATTAGTATTGAAATAAAATGATTTGCAGAATGTATAAGTAAAATTGTACCTGGCTTTCTGAAAGACACATTTTTTCTAAACAACTTTTAATGTTTGCTGCAGTAGTCTTGACATATCTAATTAATTAAGAAATAAATAAAAATAAATTAAGAAATAAATTAAGAAATAAAATATACACTTGTAAAAAATTCTGGGATTTTTCTAGTTTTTATTAAATAAACTGAACTTACAATTCAGTCAAACTGTCAATAACACCTTTACTTAATAGATCTTCAAGTCTGTACTCTTCATTTTCCTTAGTTGTATTTAACTTTAATTCATTAACATAATCTTTTAACTCTTCATGACCTAGCAGCTCTGGTCCACTAAAAAAATTCAACAGTTGTTTAAAAATAAGAAAATAAATACACGACAAGTAAACAAACAATAAATATGGATGTATGGTGGTATCTCTCTATTTGATTTTTCTAAAAACTATACAAATGTTTGAACTTCGAAAACGCTTGTATTTGAATAAAACTTTTAAATTTGCGTGTGTCATTGACTAAAACTTTTAAATTTGCATGTAAAATTGTTAAAAATAATTAAATCATTTTTAGATTTTTAAATTATTTTTGCATCTTTATTTTTTACTAGTATTTTTTTCATTTTTCTGATTTAAAAGGTTCAAAAAATACTTAACTAACACTAACCTTAAAAAAACCTAACCCTAACTGAACTTTATATTTTCATACTAAAAACATACAAATGTTTAATCATCTTATAATTCTAATCATAAGTTTAATCATCTTATAATTCTACAGATGTTTATCACTATTATGTCATCAAATGTTATCACTATTATGTCATCAAATGTTATCACTATTATGTCATCAAATTATACTATTATTTTATAAATGTATAAATCACTATTATGTAATAAAATGTTATCACCACCATTATGTTATCAAAAGTACAACATTATTCATTATAACAATTACCCCTTTTTTTCCTCTGAAATATTTTATACAGAATATTACCACTTTATAAACAGCATTTTTTCATTTAAAAAAATATTTTACTTTAAAAATAAACTTGTATATAAATACAGTTGTAACAGTATCATGTTATATCCCAGCATTCATCTGTATCCAAGAAAAAACCAAATGATACTTATTGTTAGTTAATTAAACAAAATTAAAAATAGTTTTTCCAGATAAAAAATAATTAAAAAAGTGAAAACATTTAAGTCATCAAAATTTATTTAATTTCATAAATATTCAATTTTATAATTACAATTATGGACACATAAGGAACTTTATTATTACACAAAAATTATGGTCTTGTAAACATTATAATCAACTGCAGCAAAAAAAAAACTTACTAATATTCTGCAATCCATTGAAGCAGTGTAACACATTCATTAGGTCTTGAAGGGTTTTGATTCAATGCAAATCCTTCTAGCTGAAAGGCAAATTCATGGAATATAATGCAAACCAAGTTCAAAAGAAAAAATCAATATAACTCAAACATTCTGTTTTAAAAAAATTTGATAACAAAACACTTATCAGTATTAACACTGTTAAAATACCTGCTCAGAATTTGATTCACCCTAGGGCACCTATGAAGGTAAATCCAAACCTGGATATAATGTAATAAAACTTCTAAGTACACTTAGGATTTTTATTACACTAAAATATAAGTTGATAGAGAAGTGGTGGCATAAACGCATATGGAGGCACAACCATTTTTTTACATTTCCCTTTGAAAAATGTTATCTAATATAGCAAAAACAATACCGTGCATAGGTAAAATAGTTTCCTTCATTACACATATGTCGAAAGAAAGTGCCTGTTGCGTTTCTGAGTGCCTGTTGCGTTTCTGTTGTACATGTTTATTTTGATAAAAATATCATATTTACATCATATTTTTCGAGATCTTTCTTTTGTGGAATAAGCAATATTTGATTTTAGTGTTAAAGATATGTGTTATCAGCGTTATTTCATCAAGTGAAAACCATTTTTGATATCAACATAACCTAATTAGCAAGCTATGAAACTACATTCTTTCTAAAAACTGTCCACTGGGGCAGAACTGCATTGACGCACAGGAGATACAACCACAGACTTATTTATCAAAGTTACTTGATTACAAAGATAATTACAAATAACAATAATTGCAATCGTCACACATAAATGCGTTTATATAAAAACTTGAATAGGAATAATTTTGTTTTGAGATGTTGAATATTAGATTTCGTATTTTTTTAATTTTTATAAATGAGTTTTTGATTAAAAAATAAAGATAAGAGTGTAAATCGATATCTTGTTATATTTATGTAAATCTGCTGAGTATTATATTATTACATATGTAGGTATAATTGTGCATTTCTTAATTTTAAAATTAAAGAAAATGTACCACAAAAAGTGTACCCCTAACAATTTTTGTGAGGGTGTGGTCGTGCCTCACAATGGGGGCAAAAGTGGTTTTTTCTTTAAGTGTAACTTTTGTGTAATAACATTCTCAAAAACCGTTTTAATTTTTTCTTAATTGCAGTAATTTAAAGCTTAATAATGTGGTTATTGAAATGTTAAAAAAACACATTTTGCTTTTATATTCATATAACATTATTTCAAATGTTAGGGAGGGCGGTTATGCGTGAGACTAATTCAACTAGCAGTTAAAGGCTTTGAGTGATGAGATGCCAATTTATTAACTAATAAAGGTTTGAATTTCAGTTAAATAAACTGAAAAAAATAAACTCCGAAATTTGAGAAAAAAGACAAGCAGAATTATTAATTCTTTTACTGTAATCTTTTCCAGTTCAACACTATATTTAAAATTTTCTAAAAAAATGAGGTGGGGGAGGGAAGGAGTAGGGTTAGGGAGCATATGCCCCTGGCATCGTCGGCCCTGACCATAGTTATTAAACTATCTGTAAAGTTATTGTCTACAATATTTACAAATTCTAATTTTGAACACTGATTTAGAAGAAACTACTCATCAGAGTAATACTTTTTTTAAAAAATGGAAAAATCAATTTAGTAAGTTTATGTAAATGTAAATTGATATTTATGAAATATCGATTCGTAAGTTTATGTAAATGTAAATTGATATTTATGAAATATCGATTAGTAAGTTTATGTAAATGTAAATTGATATTTATGAAATATCGATTAGTAAGTTTATGTAAATGTAAATTGATATTTATGAAATATCGATTAGTAAGTTTATGTAAATGTAAATTGATATTTATGAAATATCGATTAGTAAGTTTATGTCAATGTAAATTGATATTTATGAAATATCGATTAGTAAGTTTATGTAAATGTAAATTGATATTTATGAAATATCGATTAGTAAGTTTATGTAAATGTAAATTGATATTTATGAAATATCGATTAGTAAGTTTATGTAAATGTAAATTGATATTTATGAAATATCGATTAGTAAGTTTATGTAAATGTAAATTGATATTTATGAAATATCGATTAGTAAGTTTATGTAAATGTAAATTGATATTTATGAAATATCGATTAGTAAGTTTATGTAAATGTAAATTGATATTTATGAAATATCGATTAGTAAGTTTATGTAAATGTAAATTGATATTTATGAAATATCGATTAGTAAGTTTATGTAAATGTAAATTGATATTTATGAAATATCGATTAGTAAGTTTATGTAAATGTAAATTGATATTTATGAAATATCGATTAGTAAGTTTATGTAAATGGAAATTGATATTTATGAAATATCGATTAGTAAGTTTATGTAAATGTAAATTGATGTTTATGAAATATCGATTAGTAAGTTTATGTAAATGTAAATTGATATTTATGAAATATCGATTAGTAAGTTTATGTAAATGTAAATTGATATTTATGAAATATCGATTAGTAAGTTTATGTAAATGTAAATTGATATTTATAATATATTTATGAATTTTAATTATTTGAGTCAACAAATAAAAGAAACAAAAACTTAGATTTGTTATTTGATGCATTTAAAACTATAAAACCGGGCTCAATTGCAAGTGAACGAGTATTTTTAATTGCAAGGAATACTGTGTGTAAAGTAAACAAGACTTACCCACCATACATTGAACATTTTATGTTTTTTTAAATCCTATTTTCTTTGGGAAAAATAAATAAAGTGAAACAAATATAAATATTGTTTCAAATTTAAAGTTTTTGCAGTTGAAAGTTTTCATTGTATACCATTATTTTTTTGATATTGAGTTTGTTTTTTGTGTTTTCGTATAAATTAAATATTTCTCTGTATGTATGTATGTATGTATGTATGTATGTATGTATGTATGTATGTATGTATGTATGTATGTATGTATGTATGTATGTATGTATGTATGTATGTATGTATGTATGCATGTATGTATGTATGTATGTATGCAGTGGTGTACACTGGATTTTTAGATGTTTGAGTTTTGACACTTAAAGGCATTGCGCAAATTGCAAACTTTTATATGTTCATGCTTATGTCAAATGAGAATGTTTTGGAAAGAGTTGTGGTTATTGGAGCTTGGGGACAAAAAAAACCCAATTTTGAGCCCACCCAGCCCTTAATGTGGGAGCAACAAGTTTATAAAATAATTTCTTTAATATTTTTTTATCTAAGTTTATATTAATCAACAAATTTCAAATTTCATGCAATAATCTCTTAATGTTTAGTTTTTATGACCCTACAAAGTTTACAGCCCCCTCAAATTGAGGGGGGGGGGGGGTTAAAACTTTATATGGTCATAATTTTTGAAAAATAAGAGATTGCATGAATTTTAAAAATGAATACAAACTATTTTATCAACTGGTTGCTCCCGCGTTAAGGGCTGGGTGGGCCCAAAAATTGTTTTTTTTTGTCCCCAAGCTCGAATCACCGCAACTCTTTGCAAATTATTCTCATTTGAAATAAGCATGAACATAAAAAAGTTTGCAGTTTGCACAATGCTTGTAAGTGTCCAAACTCAAATATCTAAAAACCCAGTGAACACTACTGGTATGTATGTATTTATGTATGTATGTATATATTCATATATAATATATATATATATATATATATATATATATATATATATATATATATATATATATATATATATATATATATATATATATATATATATATATGTATATATATATATATATATATATATATATATATATATATATATATATATATATATATATATATATATATATATATATATATATATATATACTTATATTCATAAATATTATGTGGCAATAATAATTATAAATGCAAATAAAATAAGTTAAATTAAATATTACCATTCTAGACATTGCATCATGGTAGTAGTATATATAAAGCTTAAAGATTTGGTAATTAGGTGGAAAACATGGCCGAACAAGATGCTAAAATAAAGAATTTAATTAAAAAAGTCCTCACATGATAAAAAATAATTTCACAATATCATTTGCTTTATGAAACTGAAACAGTTTGAAAAATTATATTTACTAAACAATCTTTCAAAATTTAATCTGTTACAGAATAGAACATAATAAATTTATTATGACACCATCACTAAAACATTTCTGCAAGAATAAGACAAAAATACTTAATAATGACCAACTCTAAAATTTATAAATCTATTTATGCAGTGAATTTTAATTTTTTTTTATCAGATGAAGAAAATTGGCAGGGGTTAATTGAGATATTTGTTGCTTGTCAAGAATTTGGAGAAAGTTTTATTGAAAAAATTCTGACAACATCCATAGTTGATGAAATTCAATCAATTATTGAAGTTGTTGTCAATGTATATACTATTTAAACTAAAATTTTTATTCAAAAATTAAAAAAAACTATGTGTATATATATATATATATATATATATATATATATATATATATATATATATTATATATATATATAGTTAGTTAGTAGTTAGTTAGTAGTTAAACTGTAACTGGACGAATCCAGCGAGTGTGGTTTATCACACTTTGACAGCATTAATCCAAATATATATCAAAAATGTTTAGATAAAACTTCTTTGATTTGGCGTTATACTCATCTAATCTATTCTGAAATTGATTGACAGTTTTTGAAGAAACAACAGTTTCCATAAATTGGTTGTTTTTTTGTTTGTTTTTAATTTAATAAAAAATGATGCCGAGGTCAATAGTTCACAATTTCTCTTTCATATTTAAGATTGTGACCTCGAGTAATTGAATCAATTTTAAGATTCGGTTCATTAATTAAATCAATTTCCTCAAATCTGTTAAGTAATTTAAACACTTGTATTAAATCCCCACGTTCCCTCCTTGTTTTCAATGTAGATATATCTAATATTTCCAATCTCTTTTCATAATTAATTTTCATTAATGATGGAACTAATCTAGTCATCCTGTGTTGAACTTTTTCCAAAAGTGATATATCTCCTTTAAAATAAGGTGACCAAACAGGCACTGCAAACTCAATAATAGGTCTAATAAATACCTTATACAATGTTTTAACCAATTTTGCATCAATTTGTGAAAATGTCACCTTTAACATACCCATCATTGAACTTGCTTTAGAAGTATTTGATATAATTTGTTTTTTCCATTTCAAGTTTGTTGAAAAATATACACCTAAACGACTCTCTCATTCAGAATCTTTCAGTTCAACACCATTTAAAGTATATTTCAATCGCGGATTATTTATACCATAATGCATTATAACACATTTACTAGAATTAAAACCCACTTTACTATAATTAAAGCCACTTTTTAGACCATTCCTCTGCACTATCTAGATCTTTTTGCAAGCTATTTTCCACATTTATTTCATTCACTTTTGAAAGAATTTTTGTATCATCTGCATACAATTCTGACTTATTTTTAAATATATTTGATATATCATTAATAAAAATAACAAATAATAAGGGCCCTATTACGGATCCTTGCGGAACACCACTGAAAACTTTGCGCCATGAATGAATTGCGCCTTGGATAACTCTTTGGATTCTGTTTTTTAAAAAAGCTTCAATCCATTTTAATAATAAACCACTAATTCCATATGAAGATAGTTTAATCAATAGTCTTTTGTGAGCAACAGAATCAAAAGCTTTAACAAAATCTAAAAGTGTTTCATCTACCGAAATACCAATCGATAAATTAAATGAAATATAATCCAACACCTCTAATAAGTTTGTTGTACAAGACTTCCCTTTAACAAAACCATGTTGTGACTTCGATATTAATTTATATTTCATTAAATATGATTGTATGCAGTCTCTGACTATACCTTCCATAATTTTACAAGTAATTGACGTCAATGACACTGGTCTATAATTTGCAGCTTCTAATTTATCTCCCTTTTTGAATAGTGGTGTAATATTTGCTGCTCTCCATTGAGTTGGTAGTTCACTTTTAACAAAAGATTCTATAAAAATTAAAGTTAATGGCAATGCTACGGAATCCGCACAATTTTTCAAAATCAACGGATGTTTAGAATCAACTCTATATGTTTTATTGATATCAACATGTTTCAATCTACTTAAAACATCACAATAATCTATATTAACTGCATCAATAATAATATACCCTAAATTCTCGATTTGTGGAAGCTCTTCTGTAGAATTTTCAGTGGTAAACACATCTTGAAATTTTTTTATTTAAAATTTCAACAATTTAATTTTGATCATTTGTTACACAACCAGTTTGATCTCTTAATGCTTTAATTACTTGTTTAATCGTTTTTTGACTATTCACATATTTATATAGCAGTTTCGGATTTACCTTTGATTTTTTAACAAGATCATTTTCATAGTTACATCTTGCTTTACGTGATTCTATTTTCACAGTTTTGCAAATATTTTTATATTTCATTACTTTATTCAAATCTTTCCAGTTCGATGATAAATTTTGGTAACGCAAATTTTGTTTTGAACATACTAGAAGACTTACTTCATCAGTAAACCATGGATTATTTTTTCTTTTCTTTCTTGAATTTACTTCAATTATTGGAATAAAAGCATTACATGATTGACTAATTTTTTCAATAAACAGATCATTCATGAATTGAACTGATAACCCATCAAATAAATAATTCGAGTCAATTTTATCAATACTTAGGCTTATTTGTGTATAGACATTTACTGTAATCAAATTTGTACTTTAGATAATTTTCCATTGCAATAGGTTATATTTTTCCATTGCATCAAGGTTATATTTACAAGTTAAAACCAAATGTCCATGAATTATATTTCCTAGAACTGGATTAGACTCAAGTTGATATACACGTTCATTGTTTTTTGTAAAAATAAGATCCAAGGTATTTTTTGTAACATATTGTGCATTTTGAAAGGTTGGGATTGATACGTGTTGGTACAAAAAACATTCATATATAATATTAATAAATTCATTTTCAACAGAATCTTTACCTACTAAAATATCACTAACGTATCTATTCGACCATTTTACATTTAGAAAATTAAAATCACCAATAACTAACAAATCTGCAAAATTATTTTTTTCTACTAATTTACAAGCTTCTATGAATATTTGACACATTTCAAACATATCTACTAGTTCGCTTGGTCTGTACAATAATTGACGTAAATTCAAGAAAGAAAAGAAAAAATAATCCATGGTTTACTGATGAAGTAAGTCTTCTACACAACCAATTAAATATTTTTTATCATTTGCAACTATAATGATCCATATTTGTTTAATTTTATTTCTATTTAATATACCTTCGTTTACCTCATAAGATATCAAGTTGTTATCTATATATAGCGCAACCCCTCCTCCTCTATGCCCATCCCCCTTATTTCGTTTATACAAAGAATATCCTTCCAAATAAATTTTCGATGTCTCATTAAACCAGGTTTCTGTAATAGCAATTATTTGAGGATTTTTAAAACTGCATAAGATTTTAAACTCTTCAACTTTGTTTACTAAAGATGTTGCATTCGTATATAAAACATTAAATAATAACAAACTTACTAATTTTTTATGTTGTTGTGTTAAGTTGTATTTTAAATTTGACAATTCCATTTCCACGGATCGCATATGTAAAGGGCGAGTTTGCTATTCTTTCACCATTCATTTTGTCACGTTTCTTTCTAAGCTAATGATTGGATTTCTCTCAGAATCTTCATTTAAAATCACTAATACTGGTCCCGATTTTCCAGTTTGTTTTGTATTTAGCCTTTTTTGAAATGTTGGGACGATTTCTACATTTATTTCATGAAATAGTTTACTAATTTGTTCTTTATCCTCCTCATGTTGTTCTTACAATGTAGCTTTTTTGGATGCAGAAAGGCCATAGACAATAATACTTTTTCTTTTTTTTTCTCTATTTTTTTGCTCATTAATAGCTGCATTTACATCAATTAATTGTTCAACTAGGGATTTCGTTTTAGAAGAAGAGGTAGACCAATTTTTACTTGTTATAGCATCTGAGTACGATTGTTTTGGCAATGATTCTCGAGAGTCTTTTTCATCCTCTAGTACCACAATACGTGTTTCTAACCCTTTCTGCAGACAGTCATTTTCCATTTTAAATATTTTTTTCTCAAGTGCTTTATTTTTTTCTAACTCTATCTCAAGATGTCTCAAATACTCTAATTCATTTGTCTGTATTTTGGTATTAAGAAATAACAAAACTTTCGAAATTTTACCACACCAATCATGTAAGACTTTAGAGCCCGTATGATTTCCTGGTCCTAAACTTGGTCAATTTTCCTGCTTTAAAAAATCCATTTCCATGTTAGTTTTTCTTTGTATTTATATCTATAACAACAATGAGTTGGTCTTTGATAGGAGGGTTACCACTTTGATAGGAGGGTTACCTCCTGACCTCTGAACTTTTGAACAATGATGAGTTGGTCTTTGATAGGAGAGCTACCACCCTAAATACCAGTGGATTACCTCCTAATCTCTGAACTTTTTGAACTTTTAACACCTCTTATTACACAGGGACTAAAAAGTTTCAGTATGTGTTTTTTTCCGTAGTCAAATACTTTTTAAGTTTTTTTGGAAATTTATCTTCTAGTGTAAATAACATCAAGGTCACCACTAGGCTCTGCCTGATTCTTACAGAAAGTTGCTCTAAGATTTCTGGGATAAAAATCCTATTAAAACAAAAAAAGGGGAAAAATAATTTCCTTTTTTTTTCTCAATTAAAAAAAAGAAAATTTTTATATATTCAGGATACTACATAGGGTAGAGTAGATGATAAAGAGTTTAAAATATAAACATACATATTCACTTATTTCTGCTCTGCTATAACTTCAGATGGCTACATCAAAGCAATTGTACATAGTTTTTTGCTTCCTCCTTTTTTAAAAAAGATTTTTCGTTCAATCAGACAAATAGTGTCCTCTGTAATTCAGGAATTTTCTAAATTTTCATTGTTTTATCTAAAATTTCTGCTAAAATTAAGGAGTAAAAATTTCCTATTTTAAATGTGCATTCATTTTGTATAATTGTATAAATGTGCATTCATTTATGTTACTAATTTTAGAAAACCAATTTATAACATCAGTGGTATTTTTCCAGTTGCAAATTTAAGTTTTTGTGAATAATATTATTTATTTTGTTGAATTAAACTTTACTTACACTTGAAATAAACTAAATATAAAACATATTAAACAAAAATTTAATGTGTAACATTTTATCTTCAAGTTTTACATGAAAAAATACCAGATTTAGGTAGTTAATGGATTCTGTGATACCCAAGTGCATAGAAATTTTCCTAAAGGTAAAACTTATAAAAAGTTTTTAATAAATAAACTATTTAAATTGACATTTGAAATTTTAACTTTTTAAAGTTATGCAATACTCGGATTCTGTTATAAAGTTTTGTAACTTGTGAACAACAAAAATAACATAATTTATTGAAATTTTAAAATATTTTTTTAAATATCTTTTTTTAAATATCTTTTGTGTTTTTTATTGCTTTAAAAATTTATAAATTATATGACTCTTTAACAGAGATCTTAACAAATTATATAACAAAAATATATAATAGATATACAAAAGTTTACACTTATCAGGTAGGGAGCTATGTTGGTCTATTGGTTAATGTGAGTCTATTTAATATTAATTAGTACTTTTAAAGAATGTCTTTAAATAAAGATTTTTTATTGTACTTTTTGTTGAACCAGCAAGAATTTTTTTGACACTTTTAAGTTTTAAACATTCATTTCTTGGCACTAAAAAATCTTAAACATAAAATTTACAAAATAAATTTTAGTTTGAACATAAGACATGTGACATTTGAAATATAATTTTAGTATTTTTTTAAACACTTTTTTTAATTCTAAAATATCGTAACTGTACCTTAACTGAAATAAGATCATCTAAAATAAGTGCTCGCATTCTTTCAAGATGGCGAACTAACCACATTTTATCTGTTTTATCTGTTAGTTCTAATTGATTGCTATCAAATCTAAATATAATAATGTATAACTAAATTACATAGTTTTTATTGTAATATATATATATATATATATATATATATATATATATATATATATATATATATATATATATATATATATATATATATATATATATATATATCAAGACTATAGAGTCACAATTTAATAAAGAAATACCAAAACATTTCATCTATATTTTTTTTAACGAAACTAATATGTGTTGTAAATTATGTAAAAGTGTTGTAAATTATGTAAAATTTTTAGAAGTGTTGTAATTTATGCAAAATTTTTAGAAATTTTTAAACTTGTTTTTAGCTGACATAATCAGTTCGTAGTACATACATACACATATATGTACATTAAAAATTTTGTTATTACAAAGTATCATAGTTTAAAGTTAAAGTAAACTATAATTCAGAAAGTTGTGAATAGAAATAACTTAGTATAGTATCCAGTAAATAAAATGAAATTTTTTAATTTATTTTTAAAGATATTATAAAGAAGGGACAAAAAAAATTTTGGTAAAAAATGTGGAGAAAAGGGGGAGTAATACAAGGGTAGACTAGGGCAAATTTGCAAGTGGAACAATGGTGTCAAGTAAATTGATTTTATTGTAAACATTGTTAATATTTGGTAACTGTAAAATATAAAACAAATATTGTCTCATTTGACAAGAAAGTGTAAAATATAAAGTCTTTAAAAATGGTTAAAAGTTTCTACAGATTTTTTGAAAAACATTTTTTTGTTTGCTTTAACTTCTAAATCAATAGATTGATTTGAAAAACATATTGCTTGAAATTCTAAATCAATAGATCGATTAGAAAAACATATTGCTTTAAATTCTAAAGATTGATTTGGAGTTTTTTTTTTTGTTGTTATGCTTTATGCCCTCGATTTAGGAACTATTTCTATCAAAGTTCAGCAGCTTTAAAATTTTTTGCCGAATCTCTCTGCAACGTATATAAACTTTATATTTATCTTTAAACCCCCTCTTTTATACTCCTTATCTTTTCTTTCATTAGATCAAACATCTTTATATTGCTAAAAAAAATTAAATTGTCAAATTTGAAATGTCAATTTTTGACAGGCACAGGTGGATTCAAAAACCATACCCAAATACTAGGGTACACATATCTTTCTTTTAGGATCTGGATCTATTTTGTTCTAGTAATCAATTACATGCATTTTTTTGTATGGATAAAACTACTTTTTATGATGATAAATTCATGTAATATTATTTATTAACTTGCACTTATACTTATGTCTATGGCCGTCTAAAAAAGATGCTAAGGTAAGTATTCAGTAAATATTCTAAGCTGTTGAGGTAAGTGTTCAGCAAGTATTCAAAGCTGTTCGGTAAGTGAATGGTTGAGTACATTTATATGGAATTGTTAGCACAACTACAGAGAAAGCATCAGTTATGGTTTTTCAATTTAATTTGGCTGTTTAAACAAGCAACTGCATCAAATCTGTTATGCCTATTTGCAATCCATTTAACAGTATGTGATTTTCAGCCGGTTTCACGCATTATTTAAAACCAATTAAAACTTTAGACCATTACAATATTAATATATGGTAGTGAGAATGACAGTGAAGAGTCTAATTAGGCTATATTGAATTTGAAAATGATTTTTAAAGAAATTGTTATTATGAAAGATTATTATTCAATTTAAAAAGTTATTAAAATAACAAAATTGATGACTTTGAGGCATAAAGATGTTAACTTAAACTTTTATGAACTTGATTAAATTAGAGTTAGGTAAAAATCTTCAAAATTAAATAACAAGGATTTGGTGCACTTTAATTTTTTTTTATTTAACAGAAAAGATTCAAAATATTCTGGTACATATGTGAGAAGACTAAGGTAGAAAAAGATGATTTAACATTTTTTCACCACGATTGATACAATTTGAGTCAAGTCAATACTCATGAGAATTTTCTCTAGTGATTAATTTGGTAAAGCAAATTTATCACTAGAGAAAATTTATCACTAAATTTATCAAAATTTGGTTATAACAAGAAAAAATTGTTCACAAATCAACAGGTTTTTACTCTTTTTGGTAAAATTTACGTAAATCTTAAAAATAGCAAAAAATGAGTTAACATGTTAAACCATAAGATCTTTATTTGATCAAAAAATCAGTTGTTAAAATGATAAAACGTTTCATGTTTTCATAATTACGATCAATTCATAATTAGGACAAAAACTTAAACTTATTTTAGATGCAAAATACATTGAAACTTAATAAGGTTAAATATTATTCTTCGAAAAAAGATTTTTAAACTAGTTTTAATACCAATTTAATTCACCTTGTATTTAAATAAGCTTTAAATGATATTGTAAAGGGGCTCTATGAAAAGATTGTGGTGGCACCAGTCATTCTTATCTTCTTTGAGCCTAATAGTTAAAACTCTAATGGACATGTTCATTTTGGCATTATAAGTAATCATAAAATCTAATTACTTTCTAATTTGGCTTTAACACTGCTGTACTTCTAATTAGGCTGTAAAACTGCTGTACTTTGCTATAACACTGCTGCCCTTTGCTATAACACTGCTGCACTTGGCTATAACACTGCTGCCTTTTGCTATAACACTGCTGCACTTAAACTCTTAATTTAAATAGTCAATTTTATTTTGTTTTCTACATATTTTTCATTATAAATATGATTTTGTATGTATGTATGTGTGTATGTATGCATGTATGTATGTGTGTATGTATGTATGTATGTATGTATGTGTGTATGTATGTATGTATGTATGTATGTATGTATGTATGTATGTATGTATGTATGTATGTATGTATGTATGTATGTATGTATGTATGTATGTATGTATGTATGTATGTATGTATGTATGTATGTATGTATGTATGTATGTGTGTGTGTATGTATGTATGTATGTATGTATGTATGTATGTATGTATGTATGTGTGTATGTATGTATGTATGTATGTATGTATGTATGTATGTATGTGTGTATGTATGCAAATATGGATGTTTAAAATATTTTCATAACTATTCAAAACAAATTATTGACATTTAAAAATGCACCTATTCTCAACACTTTTCTTGATAACTGCTTGACAATGATCTTTCCAACATTTCGGCCTCCCAGGAGGCATGAACCCAGTCAACTTTTCTTGATTGATACATCGTGCATCAGACCTTAATATGTATTCTTTTTAAATAACAAGGATAAAAAAGATAATAAAATTAACAAAATCCATTGATTACCTTTCTTCTCTTTCAACTATTCTTAAAGAAGTAACAAGTTCTGTAGGTGTATGTCGAGCCGCAGCTAATGTTCTACTAATTATCATTGATATTTGTTTTTTCATACCAACCTTAACAAATTGAAAACTTTAATACATTTTAATACTTTCAATTATTGCACAGAAATAATCCATTTTATATATGTGTCTGTGCAAGAAAATAATAAATAGAAAAAAAAATTAAGTAGATAGTACAGTCAACAATCGAATAGGTGGTATTGGTGTGGTACATATAAACATCAAATACAAATATTGAATTAACATGCACTGATTTAATAGTAAAAAAAAAGAAGAAAAAAAAAGAGAAACTTACTGATAAATTATCAACTTCACTAAAATACGCATAAAGTGGCTAAAAAAAATAAAAGTTTAAAAATTAAAAACGTTTACAATATCTTAGTAACAAAGACTTTAAATAAATTTATTTTTATTTTTCTCCAGGTTTTGTAAGTCTCCTGTGTGAGTTTATATATATATATATATATATATATATATATATATATATATATATATATATATATATATATATATATATATATATATATATATATATATATATATATATATATTATTTAAAAAATATAATACAAAAAAAAATTATATTATTATTCATAAGTACCGAATCAGTGTAACTTTCTTTGCTTCCTTCTTCTTTATATATCTTGTAAACCTCAAGTAATAAATCGTCTCTTGTTGCTTCTAACTCCATTATGCTATAATATTTAGAGTGTAAAATTTAATACTAATTATTACTTAACAAAATTATTACTTATACAAATTTTTTCATTAAAAAAATATATTTTATTAACATTTACTTTTTGTGAGCTTGAAGTAACTTTCCTTCCTTTATGAGATTTTCAGTAAGCTTTATGGTTTCTGGGACATTAAAGATCAACCCAAGATGGCTATTTGTCTTTGCTAGCTAGTAAAAAAATTAAAACATTATTTTAAAGATTTTTGTGACAACAAAAACCTTTAAAATAATGTTTTAATGTTCTTTATTCCTCTATTTAAAAGAACTGCTAAGACTTTAAAACTTAAAAAGAAAAGATCTAAAAATAATTTGGTAGCCTCTTTCTTTCTTTACTTCTCTATTTGAAAGAACTGCTGACTTTAAAACTTAACACACCAGAAAAATCTAAAAATGTTTGGTAGCCTCTTTCTTTCTTTTTTAATTCTATTTTGATAACCAAATTTTCTTAGTTTTGTCAAAGATATTTTTGTCAGCAAAATTATTTCATTATAATTTTAGTAGTAGCATTATAAAATGAAATGCCATGTCAGTTTATATTATTATATATATTTTTCTTCAGGTTTTGTACCTGCGTCTCCTGTGTAAGTTATACACACACACATTTATATTTTTTGACAAGTATTAGTTAATTAAATTAATAGATTATTTTCACTTTACAGTGAAATATATTTAAATTTTAAGTTTTGATAAAAAAATATCAAACTTATATACACTTTTATTAACATATTCCAGAAAAAGGTTGGAGAAAGAAATATCCCAGAAAAAGGTTGGAGAAAGAAATATCCCAGAAAAAGGTTGGAGAAAGTTTAAATAAATTAATGTTTACTAGATGCTTACTAGAAAAAAAAGTTTTTTTTAAAAGGATTTACTTGTAATAAAATATTATTAAAAACAAAATAAAATTTGATATCATGGCTTCAGTACATTGTACGAAAACCATGTAATGTAATAATGTTTAATTGTTATAGATTTAAAGCAGTAAGTATTATTGCTAACAAATTAATGTTAAATGTGTGTTGGCATTAAATGTATGTTGAATGTATGCTGGCATTACAACAAAAAAGAAGTAAAAAATATCTTCCTAAGGTATTGTGTTGTAAGATAAAGTATTAACTTTATAAAAAAAATTTTATAAATTATTGAAAAAACCTTTGCATGTCTTTCATGAGCTACTTTAACTTTGAGAAGTTTATCATTTAATGGTTCACATTCAACAAAAATATTTGAAACTTCCTCAAGTCTAAATTAAATCAAGATTTATTTAAAGTTCTTTGTTGTATCTACATCTGAAAAAATAACTTAAATTTCTGAAAAATATGTTGCTAAAAATTGAGTAAATAACTAACTGTATAAACAATTTTATAAACTATATTAAATCAATTTTTATTAATAATCAAAATTAAAACATGAACTTACGACTTCTTAACATATGCAATATCCTCTTGTGCACTAGAAAAATAAAACATGTCTTCATTTTCATAAAAAAACAGATAATATTTTTTATCTTTTATAATTTAATTATTGTGCACAGCAATAATTAAAATTAATGTTTATTTAATTATAAATTTTATTTGCTGAAGACAAACAGATGCTACCCTGTTGAGTTTCATTTAAATAAAATAAATTAAAAAACATATAGTTAAAATAAAATTAAAAAAGGCTAAAGAAGTAATGGAATCATAGTTTATTTCATGATTAAAATATTCATCATGAAATAAACCGTGATTACATTACTTAGTTTCTTTAGTTATGGTTAGAGCCCAGGTTACAAATAAATGCTTACTGACTCAACCCTGACCATAAGCCTCATTTCTTATGTTCAACAAAACTTTACTCTAACAATATAATATTTCAACACATTTTACTTTTATCTTTTTAACCTCAACTTGTTATTTTTTAACTCATTTAACTCAGCTTGAAACTTATTACCTTTTCAACTCATTTAATCCAGATCGAATACCATCAATTTGTGATTGAACAGCTGTTTTTAGACGAGAATCTACTGCCGCCTATGTTAAATAACAAATTTTGGTTGATAAATTGTTTTCCAGTGCGAAAAAAAGTTAGTAAAGAATAGAAATAAAAAACAATTCAGTAAAAAAAAAATTAACCAATTTTAAAAATAACCTGAAAAGCATAATAGAATCAAAAAATAGACATAAAAACTAAAGTAAAAAAAAATCTTCTATGATAAAATAAATTAGACAAATCTTACTTTATTTCTCATTATTTTTCTTCTTATTTGTTCAACTTTATCCAACTGATCTGGTGTCTAAAAAATATTCAATCACATAAAAACACAAAATATTCAATCACATAAAAACACAAAATATTCAATCACATAAAAACACAAAATATTCAATCACATAAAAACACAAAATATTCAATCACATAAAAACACAAAATATTCAATCACATAAAAACACAAAATATTCAATCACATAAAAACACAAAATATTCAATCACATAAAAACACAAAATATTCAATCACATAAAAACACAAAATATTCAATCACATAAAAACACAAAATATTCAATCACATAAAAACACAAAATCAATCACATCAAAATTAAACATGTTCTATTAAAAATGTTCTATTTAAAAAATTCAAAATATTTTTCAAAAAATTTCATAATATTTTTCAAAACAATATTTAAAAGCTTTTAAATATTGTTTTGATTGCAAAATAAAGTGCAAAAATTGTTATGGTTTAAAATAAAATAAAAATACCACCAAAACGCTTGCAACATATTTTGAAGCTTTTTGCAAAGCAGCACATTTTGCCAGCTCTACCTCTTCTGTCATTATTTAGTTCCACCACTGTTTATAGTTCATCAGAGCTTAACTTCTCATTTCATTTACAATTATAAACTATGGTTTAAAAATGTGTAATTAAAAATAAATAAACTGCAGCACAACTCTTTAAATCGACGATTTAAAAATCTCATTTAAAATTACATCCTAATTGCTTTAAAATATATATATATATATATATATATATATATATATATATATATATATATATATATATATATATATATATAATAAGAATAAATCTAAATACCAAATATTAAATAAAAAAGAGCAAATATTTTAAATTGTTGTTTTATACATTAAAACAATGACAACTTTAAAAATTCATAATTATACCTATCAAATATTGTTTTTAATAAAATCCTAAGTTATAGAATACATAAAAATAAAAAAAAATAAAAAATGAAAAAGAACAAAACATAAACACCAAACTTTATTAAACAAATCTATCTAACAAATAAGAAAGAAATTTAATTCTTGTGTTCAGAAAGCTTTTTTTTTAAAAACCAATGTTCAGTCTATCACTCTATGACTTCATTTTATTCGATGTTATAAAAAACAAAAAGATAAAAATGAAATAAGTTTTACAAAGTTTACAAAGTTCTTTAACTACAATCTCTCTTTTAAGTAGATTCCTTCCTAAAAAATTAAAAAAGTATATTTGAATTAATCATCATCATCATCATCATCATCATCATCATCATCATCATCATCATCATCATCATCATCATCATCATCATCATCATCATCATCATCATCATCATCATCATCATCATCATCATCATCATCATCATCATCATCATCATCATCATCATCATCATCATCATCATCATCATCATCATCATCATCATCATCATCATCATCATCATCATCATCATCATCATCATCATCATCATCATCATCATCATCATCATCATCATCATCATCATCATCATCATCATCATCATCATCATCATCATCATCATCATCATCATCATCATCATCATCATCATCATCATCATCATCATCATCATCATCATCATCATCATCATCATCATCATCATCATCATCATCATCATCATCATCATCATCATCATCATCATCATCATCATCATCATCATCATCATCATCATCATCATCATCATCATCATCATCATCATCATCATCATCATCATCATCATCATCATCATCATCATCATCATCATCATCATCATCATCATCATCATCATCATCATCATCATCATCATCATCATCATCATCATCATCATCATCATCATCATCATCATCATCATCATCATCATCATCATCATCATCATCATCATCATCATCATCATCATCATCATCATCATCATCATCATCATCATCATCATCATCATCATCATCATCATCATCATCATCATCATCATCATCATCATCATCATCATCCTTGAAAATTTATTTGATATTTCTCAAAACAACATAGAAGCAAAAATAAAATAAAATAAAAATATGACATTGATATGAAACAAAGAGTTGAAAGGAGAATTAAAAGGTATAAAAAAATGAGATCTTATGAAGAAAAATGCAAAGTTATTGGAAGTTTTAGATTTAATTGAAATGCGGTAGTGGTGTAGTGGTAGAGCGCTCACTTCATAAACGAGTGGTTCCGAGTTCGATCCCCACCACGTCCCTGGTAGTACCGCGCTCAACTCGTTTCTCCGCGCAGCGGCCTTGTTCGTCAAGGTTCGTGTTTCGTTGAGAGAGGGTTATAGCCACAAATAAGTAGCCTCCTCGTCTGTAGTGGCCTTCTCGGCCTTGAGGAGGTGAATTAAAATAAAAATAAAAAAAAAAAAAAAAAAAAAAAAGAATTGCAAAACTGATTTAGAAATGAATGAAGGGATCGCCCATGACTCAGAAGAATCTGAGGCATCATTTAAATTATATCTTAATATTTAATTCAAAAATTTTTAAATATTTATTTTTAATAATGGTTTAATTTAAACTTGTGTAAAGTCAGTATCGCTTTTTTTTTTAAGTTTCTGTTGCTCACCAGTCTTCATTTGCTTGTGATAGTAATATCAATTTTCCAGAAATAGATGAAAATCAGCTTCCAACACACACAAAGGTAAAGCATCAAAATCCCTCTTAGTCCAGCTGTTCAGAAATAGCAATAGGGTTTGACAGAGACAAGCTTCTGTTGGCTACATCACCTGTTAGTGTTAGATGCGGAATTAACATTCGCTCACAAACAATGTTTCTAGAAGCTTTTATTAAAACTCTAGAGGATTCATGATGTCTAGAAGCTCAATATGCTAAAATAGCTAGAAGTAGATAAAAACATATCGAAGATTTAGGTAAAATTTTTATACATTCAAAATATTTAAATTAAAAATAAAAGTAATGATTATAAAGAGAAAAAAAATCTTTTTTGATTTAGGAGCCACCATCAGATCAAGTCATTATTAAAAAATTCTTAATAATTTAAAATTTATCAACCTGGAGCTTGTCACAAAGCAAGATGGCTGATGCTTAGTAAATTCTTACACTAGAACATTCACATAACTTTTTATCTAATGAAAATGAAAATAAAATAGAAACATGTGCTTTTATTGTTGCTGTTTGTTATGCTCAGTGGTACCTCAAGTATAGAAGCGCTCAACACCCTGTACTTAATGATTTTAATGCTTTTAAAGCAGCACATGTTCTTAAGAATAAATTTAATGCTAATGTTGGCAATTTTTTGTTTAAAAGTTTTCATAAACATTTGTGGTATCTTTCTCCAGAAGTAGTTGTATTTTCCCTAGCTAACTCACTTGTTTGTCAAGTATCAAACTTTGAAGTTATTAATTTCCTTTTCAGTTCCAGAGCTAGAAAAAATAAGTATGGAAAAGCCTAATCCCGTTTTAATTTTACCAAACAGAAAGCTTGTTACTGCTGATAGCTGGCTTATATTGATGCACCTAGGAATTGTGAATCATATTAATGATTGGGTTTATTCTCATTCTAACTTCTCAAAAACTGAATCATAAAGTGTTTTTGAAAATTTTGTTAAAGGACTTGTTAAAGGCTGAAAGAAACATTTAATAAACAACTTTTTAAAATATTTTCTAAAGGAAAAACAGCATCAAAATATTGATAGCAAGAGGGGGAGGGGAAAAAAAGTAACAAAGAAAGTAACTCAAAAAGGAACTTATATAAATTTAAAGCTTTCTATATCATTGTTAATTCATTGTTAATTTATCTCCCAAGACCGAGAAGGCCACAATAGACAAGGAAGCTACTTAATTGTGGTTATAAACCTCTCTCAAAGAAAGTAACTCATATAAATTTAAAACTTTCTATATCATTGCTAATTCATTGTTAATTCATCTCCTAAAACCAAGAAGGCCACAATAGACAAGGAAGCTACTTAATTGTGGTTATAAACCTCTCTCAACTTGATTCGCTATAACTTCGAAACACAAACCTTGACGAACAAAGCTGTTGCGCAGAGAAAGAAGTTGAGTGTGGCAATAAAAAGGACATGATGGGGATAGAAAACATCTTGCTTATGAAGCGAGCACTCTACCACTACTGCATATATGCTAATATTGAGATATTAGATTAATATTGAGATATTAAATTAATATTGAGATATTAGATTAATATTGAGATATTAGATTAATATTGAGATATTAGGCTAATATTGAGATATTAGATTAATATTGAGATATTAGATTAATATTGAGATATTAGATTAATATTGAAATATATTTAAAAATACAAGCATCATATTGTCAGTTTATTTATTTAGATTTAGGAATTTTAAAGTAAATACTTAAAATGATATTTTAGGATGTAATTATCTTCTACCTTAGTATAGACAAAGAATTTTGGGTGTACAAGAGAAGTTTATATAAAAAAAAAGTTTTTTTCCGTATTTTTGGGACACCCTACTGCCCAGTTCACCAAAAAAACTATATTGATTTTGCATAGAAACACTAAATATATCATTTTTTAATATAAATTCATTTCTATCAAATTTGTTTTGGTTTAGCGCTTAATCATCTATATGATCATATATCATTGTTAATAAAGAACTATTATTTCACACCTAATAATTATAAATAGTAATATTTAAATACATTTTAAAAATGTAGACAAGTTTTTAAAAATAATTTTCAAAAATACCTGAGCAATCCATTGATTGCTAGGATCTTCATATCGGTATGCACATATTTCATGCTGTCCAGAAATCGGTCGACCATATTGTTCGGCAGAAGCATGCAAAAAACTAAATTTTATTTAAATTAAAATAACCTTTTTTGTAATTTAATAAACCTTTCAAAAACCTATATTACCCTAATAAAATAATTATAATAGTAACAACTTGATTTTACTATAATCGCTTAACTAAATATTGAAAACTAAAAATATTTAGTTAACAATAGTAACTCTGAAATAAGTGACAACTAATATTTGCTTTATTCAATGAGTTTATAAAAGCTGAATATGATTTATTAATAGTAGTAGTAGTAGTTTTTTAATAAAATATTAAATCACTGCTTCGTAATCAACACTAAAAAATCTGAAATCTTAGAAAACCTTTAGTAGAGCAGTAATGTGACGAAGATTAGAAAATTCACATCTTAACATAATATTTAAAGTTATCAGTTTTTATAATGTTAGTATTACTTTTTCTAAACCTTGCAATAAAACTGTATCAAATAGAGTGAAAAAGGATAAGTGAGAAAATAAGCCCTACAAAAAACTTTTTTGCAAATAAAAATATAAAAAGTTTGGTTAAAATAAACCACTCACCTTCCAGTATCAATATGTTTAAAACGAACTTTTTCATTACGACTCCAATTTTTTCCACTACATTTTACTTCCCAGTTATCACCTTTAGATAAAACATTTTAATAACAAAAACTGTAAATATTTAAAACATAAGACAAAAATACATGATTACAATACACAAAACATAGGACAAAAATACATGATTACAATACAAAAAACATAGGACAAAAATACATGATTACAATACACAAAACATAGGACAAAAATACATGATTACAATACACAAAACATAGGACAAAAATACATGATTACAATACACAAAACAAATCTTATTAAAAAATAAATTTAATTTTTCCATTAATATCATGAGAAACAATTTCTTCTGGATTGTTTAGTTAACTCTAAACGTATTTTTTAAGATTTATTAAAAAACTGAACACACTTTTCTCAGAACTTAGGGATGTTTTACTTGAAAATGCTTTCCTTTAAAAATTCCTACGTTGAATATTAACAAATATTCAATTAGTCAAATTCAAAATATAGATTAACCAAGTTAGAAATTCAAACAGACATATCTTTGTTTAATTAAAAGATAGTATATCTTTCGAAAAACTAGGTTTTATTTAAACTTAGGTTTCCATGAACTACTTTCTTGAAAAAATGGGAAAATGAAAAGTTTTGAAGTTATTACTGATAATTTAGGTTTGCTAAATTATAGAATGGAACATTATTTACTTTTGCAATGCACAGATAAAAACATTAATAGTAAATTAGAAAAACAAAGTTGAAACTTCAGAGAATATTAAATTACAACAGTTAATTAAAAATGTAAGAAAAAATTTCTTTGATTTATTGTTTCTGCACATCGTTTGTTAATAAAATAAATCTTCATAATAAAAATTTTTCAAATTCCAATCAAGTTTCTATTATTTCTTGAATATCATGTTGTTATATGTGGTCATTAATATTTACAGGGTGGCCACATAAAATTTTTATAAGAAAAAGAGAATATTAGAGGATTTTAAAGGAGATTCTGTGTTTAATTTAGAGGATTTTTTTTTGCAAAACTACAAAATTTTGAATAAAAATAGAGGATTTTAGAGGATTTTTTTTTTCAAGGTTCAACACCTGTTTCCACATAACTGGGGATTGGACAGGGGTCAACAATGTCATTTTTTGTTGATGACATGGATTTGCTGAAATTGATGAACATGAATTTTGAACATTATACTGCCACCAAGAAATAAATAAAAAATAAAAAAGAGGAGTTAAAGAGGAGATTTTATGATATTTTTAACTTTTTAGAAGATAATAGAGGATTTTAGAGAAGGTTTTTGAAAAAACAGGATAAAGAGGATTTTAGAGCAGCTGTGGCCACCCTGATTTATAAATATTTTTATTTAGTTTCAAATATTTCACATATTCTTGATACTTGGTTTGATACTTGATACTTGGCTCTTGGTTTTTTACTTGATTCTTGGTATTATATAAAGTTTATGATATTATATGCATTTCCTGGGTATTTTTATTGCTTTCAATGTTTTATATATTTCCTGATATTTAGGTTATAAAAATTTAAGAGTTCCAGATATTTCATATAGTTCAGGATGTTTCATTTTGTACAGTTCACATACCAAAATACTCATCTTGACATGTTGTTTTGTAGAAGGCTTTCTAAACTTTAGGGCTTTGAGAATAAGCAAAAAATTTCTGTTTATTTATTATTTCAAGCCTCACTTTTTTACCTGATTCTACCAACAGCTGTAAAATATCAGTGTCAGTGTGTGCATGGTCATTGATTCTATTAGTACTATGGTGTGCATTGTCAAGACCAAATGAAGAGCACTCTCTTACAACTTTAGTTGCTTAGATAAAAGTAGTATCATCGAGTTAAGTTCTCTCTACAATCAAGTTCTCTCTATGAGTCAAATTCTCTCTATGAGTCAAATTCTCTCTTCAAGTCAAGTTACTACAGACTACCTAAAAGTATATAAAACACAGTTGCCAAATTCCTTTAGCTTACATCTTACAAATATTCATGATATAGAAAGCAATTTTTCATATGTATAATCTTACTTCTTTGTGAGATTAACTTAAAATTCACCTTTTTCATCTTGAAATCTCAATGGCAACTATCTTTGAATTCACAAAGACTTAAAAAGTCACCTGTGTTAAAATTTTAAACACCTTCATCTTCAGATCTCAATAGCTATTCTCTTTGAATTCACAAAGACTTAAAAAGTCACATGTGTTAAAAAATGTGTTAAAATTTTTAACACCAGTATTTAATCACTATTTTTTATAATCATTATTTTTAAACAAGATTTTATTTACTTTTATTTACTTTCCTCAATTGATAACAAAATGTTTAATGTAAGCCTACATTTATGCAAACAATAAAATGTGCCTATATGCACATATATTGCTGTAATTCAAATTATAAACATACAAAAATTAAAAAAAAAAAAAAAAACAATTTGTTGGTTTTTCTATCTATTTCTTATTGTCACTTCTTATTTATTTTAATTTATTAATTTATTTTATATCTTCTCTATTTATTTCTTATTGTCACTATATGCTTAAACGGTATGAGAAAAAACCCCATATAAAAATGTGATGCGATTAAAACAAGGTGTAAAAGGTTCCTATATTCAACATTCTTGCCCATAAGATTTTAATTTTTCAGTTATGCTGCAATAATCAACCTATGTTTAAAATGTATTTACATTTCTATTTAGTAAAATTTATCTACATTTAAATGTTTAAAATGCTTCATTGATATTTTTTTTGTTGAAATATATACCTATTAGAATCTTGGTATGTTTAAAAAAATGAATTTAAATATAAAAATCTAAATTTGTCATATACTTAAAAATTTTAGTTAACAATATAATCACCATGGAGAGTGATAAAAATATAATCTAGCCATGGAGAGTGAGAACAAAGCCATGGAGAGTGAGAACAAAGGCAATGAAGGAAGGAATGGCCATAGATAGTGAGATGTAATTAGAGAACAAAGTTTATTCATCATTCCAAAAGCAGATAAAAATTTGGTTTGATTTTTTGTTATGAAAGAAAAAAAAGATGCAAAAAGTGTGCACAAAAATTGTAAAATCAACAGTTGATTTGAAAATCAAATATCAAGTATTTGTGATATTACAACTACAAAAACAAGATGGAGATGAAAGATGAACAAAATCCTAATAAACTTGTAAGTGAATCTAGTTTAAAATCTGATAGGCCTTTATCAAAAACTATTAAACTTCTAAAAACCCAACAGACAACACATCTGCAGCATTCTTAGCTAAAAAGATAGCACTTGATGGGCATCCATTAAAAACTTTTGTAACATCCAATGAATCTTTAAACCTTTAAAAATTCTTGAAAGTATTGAATTTGTGAAATAAAAGTGATGAACTTTTAAAATCCACTACAACTTAAGAAGTTAATTAGAGAAATATCATAACATAATTAAAATGAACATAATTAACATAACTAAAATGAAAATAAATAACATAATTAAAATGAACATAATTAGCATAATTAAAATGAACATACTTTAATGGATCCCAAACACAAGACATGTTGTGTTCATATTTTAATATGAACACAACGCAGAGACATGTTGTGTTCATATTTTAATATGAACACAACATGTCTCTGCGTTTGGGATCCATTAAAGTATGTTCATTTTAATAATATAATAAATTTAATAATAATAAATGATAAAAAAAAATGTTTGGGATAAGTTTTTTTGAATAAAATAAAAGAATTAATGAAAGACTAGGAAAAACTAATTTTTTTGTTTTAGTCAAAGCTTGGCTTCTCCACTTTGTTTGAGACCAAAAAGTCTTCATAATATATGCCGCAATACACTACAGACTTGATATTTTATTCAAGCGTGCGTTACTCCTAAGAGTACATGACGTCATTGATTTTTTTGTTTGTTTAAAAAATAGATTTTATAAACAAACAAAAAAATCAATGACGCCATGTACCTCTTAAGAATAAAACGTTCTTTAATAAAATACCAAGTCTGTAGATTGTGGCGCATATTATAAAGACTATTTGGCCTTGTACAAAACAAAGAAGCCAAGCTTCGATTAAAACAAAAAAAAAGTTTCTTTTGGTATGCATTTATTTTTTTGTTTTATTCAAAAAAAATTAGCCCAAACATTTTTTTATATCATTCTCTTTAACATGAACACAACATGTCTAGGCAGTTTGGAATCCCTTTGAGAAAAAATCAATACATAATTCTTTAAGGTAATATATGGATATTTGAAAAATTTTCCTTCTCTATATCAATGAAAAAAATGCCTATTAGTATAACTAACAGGACTTTACTACAATATGTGTACAGCTAATTGATCCCTGAATACAAAAAGTAAAAAAATTGTGAAAATATTTAGATCCTCATCATATAAAAAGGTACTATAAAACTATATAAATATTAAAATTGATCAAAAAAATTAATTTTAAAACTAAATAGCCTATTAGCAATGCTCAAGTGTTTTCAAAAATAAAAATTATACATTTAAAAATCAGATGTAAATATAAAAAAAAGTATAAATTTTACAGAAATTTTAAAACAGTTTTAGCTACTCTGCACTTTTCCCAATAAATGTTTCCCAATAAACTCACTTTGTTACAAGAACAGTCGCTTAATTACTGTGTGGTATATTTAGCCTTTTAATTCACTTTGTTACAAAAACAGTCCCTTAATTTCTGTGTATAAATTTAGCATTTTAATTCACTTTTTTACAAGGGCAATCGCTTAATTTCTGTGTATAAATTTAGCCTTTTAGTTCACTTTGTTACAAGGACAGTCGCTTAATTTCTGTGTATAAATTTAGCATTTTAATTCACTTAGTTACAAGAATAATTGCTTAATTTCTGTGTATAAAATTAGCTGTCACTTTATTGCTAGGACATCTAATTTCTGTGTATAAAACCAAATTTACAATTCATAGACTAAACATAAATAAATAATCACTGAACAATCACTGAACTGAACAATCACTGAACTGAAAGTTTTATAAAAATCTAACAAGGTTAATTTGATCTGTAATCTAGATGAAGCTTCGAGATGATATCAGAAATACAAGCCAATTAAACTTAAATGTTTAATTTTTATCAAAAATAAGTATTTTCAATTCACTGTTGGAAATTTTTAATTAGAAATTTTTAATAAGAAAGGGTTTCAGACTTGAATTTCAAATAATGAGAAAAAAAACATCTTGATTTAGAGGTGAAGTTTAGTGAAAGTAGTTAATTCTGAGAAACTAATATGAAAAAGAATTATACCAATCTAGTTATACAAAAGCCAAACAAATGAACATCGAGGTTGTTACAAAATAACAAAAACATGCTTGGAATTAAATCAAGTTTAATGAAAAGTAAACAAGGCTATTTAAAGATGAAGTTGTCCAAACCAACCAATAAATCTGAAGTCATATCTTTCTACTGTAACTGTTCCTTCACAAAAAACTTCATTTATTAGTTTTTTCTCAGAGTACATATGTTTTATAACTTTCTCCTGCCATCATGTTTTCCTGGGTCACATAACAAACTTATAATATATTTTTTTAGAAATAGTTGAATAAACTCTTATAACATAATAATCAAATGTTTCTAATGAATTTTTAAACAAAGAAAAATTTGAAGTCATTTTAAAGAAGTCAACTTTTTAATTAAAAAATCAATCAAATTAAACAAAACAAGAATATTTAGAAATAATAAACTTTTAACATGGGAGTTGCAGCAACATGTAAACTTTAAAAAAACTCAGTTTTTCAGTCACCAAAATATTATTGCAATAAAATATCATTGTAATATTGTTGATATTTCTATATTGATAAATGGTAGCTGAATCATAATTGAAAAACCGCCGAATCTTGCTTATAAATCTCACTGAATCCTATACTTTTCCTTTTCTTGGATCATCATTCACTAATGATCTCTCAGGGAAACCATTTATACAACCAAATAAAAAATTAATGATTAAATAACAGTCAAGTTAACAATAATGTGATTAAGTTTATAAGTTTGAAACCATATTGAAAGAAAAAAATAAAACAAGAGATTTAAGACAATATAATTAAGTCTTCAATTATTATCTACACTAATTGTTCAAACAATCTCATTATGGTAAGTCAAATACCCATCTTACTTTTTATTTGATATTTATCAATTTTAGTATATTGATGTTCACCCTAAAGATAAAAATTTAGTTATAAAAATGCTAAGACTCAGTTTAGTTGTATTTTTTGCTGTATAGTTTAATCAGTACAACAACATTAATCACAAACTTACATCAGGGTTAGGGTTAGGGTTAGGGTTAATGCTTTCTGTTGTCTCATGTTAAGGATTCAAAAAGAAATGTATTAAATTTTTATATTTTTGATATATGTTTGAAATTCTTACTTGTATTATTTTCTTGATAAATACATAATTTAATTTTAAAGAGTACTTTAAAAATGAAACACATGTTTACTTGTTTTAAAAACAAATGTTTGCTTGCTTTAAAAATAAAATACATGTTTACTTGTTTTAAAAATAAAACACATGTTAGCTCACTTAACAATAAAAAACCTAATTTTAAGTTGCAATAATTACATTATATTATATTTTATAAAGTTTTGATAATATATTTTAGATATTTTATCCAGGCACATTATATTTATTAACATTTAAGTTTAAGATTGTTAAATTTAAATTCTAATCAAAAAAACATAAAGTATATGTTAACTAAATTAATTTTTTAGAATAAAAATCATTCCTAAAACTTACCAGTATCTCCATTGCCATCTTCTCCAAATGCACTTACTTCTTGATTATGCGATATTGGACTCTGAAATAAGTGACTATGCAAATTTCTCTTTGTTGCTAAATGTTGCAAACGTATTGTATCTCCACATTTTATAACTCGCCTTTATATTTAAAATAAAAAAATTAAAAACACACAAATATAAACACAGATAATATATATATATATATATATATATATATATATATATATATATATATATATATATATATATATATATATATATATATATATATATATATATATATTTAAACAATTTAAAACGTATTCTACAAAAAGAGTGCTCAATGTTCTTAAAAGAACAGAGCAAAAACCAGATTTCTGATGAGTCTTTATTAAAGAAATACAGTGTTAAATAAGAAAAAATTTTGCTAAGTGATTTTCTACTAATTTATATATATATATATATATATATATATATATATATATATATATATATATATATATATATATATATATATATATATATATATATATATATAAATAGTATTGTGTACTAAGGTAAGCAATCTGACGTCATACTGAAATAGCCTGCTGCTGGGGGCTTCAGTACATACATCAACTGACAAATAGCCTGACTCGCAGTGGAATGGAGCTACATCGACTGAGGGTTTGGGATTGGACAGCAATCTTTTCATTCACCATTCTTCATTTTTTTTCTTCTTTTTCTAATAAAGCCATATGGGTTAAGGTAAGCAAAAAAAGTGAGCAAATGCTTATAAAAGTACGCTTTAGTAAGTGTATATATATATATATATATATATATATATATATATATATATATATATATATATATATATATATATATATATATATATATATATATATATATATATATATATGCATATATTTTTTGCTTAGGCATATATATTTTGGGATATGGTGGAAAGAATGTTTTACGTAATGAATCAGCAAATGAATTCGAAATTTTAAAAAAAGAAAACAATTTCTTTAACAATAATTGCAAAACTATTTTACGTTCCTTTGAAAATAAATTTTACACTCAACTTTTTTCCAATATACATTCCTTCAAAACAAAATTTAAATTAATCATATTTAATTTAAAGTCATAATTAAATAAAAAAAATTATTAAATAATTTTTTTCTTTAAAAAAACTCAGTTGAAGTTAAATGATTTTTTTTTACCACCTAATATTTTTTGAATAAACGTCACATGAATGATATAAAAAAATAATTTAAATATTCCAAATAAACTTTTTTTTGCTTAACATAGAGCTACTAAATGTGTACGTAAAATTTATGCCTAACACTTCAATGGTCTGTCAAAGTATCTTTTATGACGAATTTAGTTCTATTATTTTATCTCTAAATCCTTAAATAAAATTTGTAAAAAAATAAAATAATATTTTTATTTAAACAATAAAACATTTTAGTTTTTATTTAGGAAGTATTTTTTTTTTTTTAATAAAAATGCTCTTATAATTTTCTTATGCTCTAATTAATAATAGAAAATGTGGAAAACAAACTTTGAATTCCAAATTATTTTTTTTATTATTTTAGATGGATACTTTTCTTTTTATAGAAATCAAAACTTTATTGCATCAAAAAAATGTTTTTAGTCGCCCTTCACAAAATTCACCTGGTACTGTATATTAGGCAGGTCCGTTTTTAGGGGTCAGAAAAACTATAACTTTGCCACTTTATTTTCCCATTCTACGTTGATATACAAGACAATTCCAAAAAAAATTTTTAAAATATTTCAATTTTCCTGACCTCCTTGAGGGTTTAAATATTTTTAAAAAAGCCATTTTTGACCAATTATTCGCTAAATTGCTTTTTTAATTGGATCAAGGACCAACAAAACTTATAAAAATATAAATAAAGTCGATAAAGTCTTTTACCAATTTAATAGCTCTTTTGCAACAGTCATTGACACAGACTAATCTTTTTATAAACCTTTGCATATTTTTATAATCAGAATCATAAGTCCACAAATCAGGTGGACTTTCTAACCACTTTGATAAGTAAGGAACTATTTTAAAAATTAGCCAAGAATTTTGACCAACGTAATCATTAAGTTCTGAATGTTCATTTATTTCTACAGGCTTAAACTTTTTAAGTTTAAAGATTTCAGGTAAATTTGTTTTTAACAACTGCTGAGCAACTTTTTCTTTATATTTGTTGTCAAGACTTTTATCAAATAAACAAAAGACAACCGTTTCTTCAGAAAGATAATAACTGTGTCTAAGATAGCTTGAAATAAAAGCTTTAGAAACATCAGCATCAAAATCTTTCATTTTTATCACCTCTTTAAATGTACACAAATCATTATGAGCAGCAGAAACAATTTGACTTGATTGAAGAAAGTTTTTTGTATAAACTGAAGCTACATATTTCGCAGCCTTTGAAAATACTATTTTTTCCTCTAGGGTTAAAAACTTTATGATTGGTTGAGTAAGCTTCATTGCCAAAATGAATAAAGCGCCTGCCATAAATCTAGCTTCATGTTCAGCAGCTGGTTTGTGTATAATAAATTCAGGAACTGCCTCCCTTCCTTCCAGAAAAATAATGACATATTGACACAGATGTTTATAATCATTTCTGGGAAAAGTATTAAGTTCCAAAGCTTTTTTGCAAAAAGATAAACTTTTTTTAGCCATATCTTCTAATGGGTTCCACTAACTTCGCACCACGGAAACTTTGATAACTGATCCATACTATTTTGAACATTTTCATAATGCATTGGCCAAGTAGCTTTGAATCTCATATAAATAGATTTTGATGGACCTATGCTTTCTGTTTTAGTGTTTGCAATAATTGCATGTAAAATATGTCTTTCTTGGGAATGTTTTCTACAAAGAAGTCTTAACAGAGGTCGATTTAAAAGTTCTTCTAAAATACTTTTCACAAATCCCAATTATAATGCTTTCAATTCCAAACTTTTTTATAACATTAAAACATGCTAATGCTTGATCATATCCTTTCCCTGATTGACATTCAACTATGCCTAGCAGCTCATCCTGTTGTTTTCCATTTGTATTCAAATCCCAGTCTGGACTTGTAACAACAATAGCTAGACGTTCGCTTACTTCAGAAATATAGTCTTCATTTAAAATTGTAACTTTTTTTGTATCAATGTGCAAAATTAAATTACTATTTTTACATTTTTATTTTATTTTTTCCTTTATGAACTCTGATTCACTTACATACAAATCTTTTCTTATTTTTTCTACTTTGTCTTTGAAAGTTTTACTTCGTTAAGGTTGATATTTCCACATCTTAAAAATAATGCTAATAATCCTGTCAGTACTCCAACAGAAATTCCAAAACGCAGGGCTTGTGATGAATCGAGCGCGATCGCGCTCTGCTCGTGAAACGCGCCCGTAAATGGTATTTTGAAACGTTCCAGGTGCGATAAACAACGCTCGTTCAGCTTATAACGAGCGTATAAAATAACGCTCGTCCAAGAGTTCGGGGCAAAACAAATAAGAATTTTTTTTTTTCCATAAAATATGAAAAAAAGATTTTTTAATAAAGATTTTATATTATCGAAGCACTAATATAATATAAAATAAAAAAGCACTACGTCGTTCTTTTTTGCACTAACCTAATGAATGAGCAGTTTGAAGTCGTTAATAGGCACTAATTTCATTGATGGAATGTGCATGTAGAAATTCAATGCAAATACAAAAATGCACAAATAAAATAATAAAAAATTAGTAAACCATTATAAGAAAATTGAAACTGCAGAATATTTTTAATCTTGTGAAAACATCAAGTAAGATTTATTTGATTTATTGTTTGTAATATTCCATACATCATTTATAATAAAAATAAATAATAATTATTCAGTAATTTTTTTAAATAGTTTTTGTTTATATTATAAGTTTTTTATTAACTATTATTTATTTTAACTCAAATTTAAAACGATTCTGTTGTTTAGAATGTCCGCAATCAATGACATTCCAAAAGGAAACAAAGTAATGTTGTCAACATTTATTAAATGGAAAGTTCAAGAGGTTTAGAACTGAAGTTACCAGATATGAGTGACGAATTAGCTGCATTTAGTTTCGAAAATGTAGAAGAGGAAACACTGTTGACAACAGTTGAGGGGAAAATCTGTTATTTAACCTATAATGAATAGTTTAAAAAAAAAAGATTTTCAAACTTTCTTGTGTTATTTTTTTATCTTAATGGAGGACAGAGAATTTAAAAGTTTTCAAAAATTTTTTCAGGAAAAGTCTTTTATGACAACATAGAATGGAAAAATAAATTGGCAAAGTTGTAGTTTTTTCAACCCCTAAAAAAGGACCTGCCTACTGTACATACTTCCTCTTCGATATGTACTAACTTATTTAGATTAACCACAGATTCAAATGTTTTTTCAGGCCCAATTGATAAGGCACTCGTAAACTTTGAATCATTACCAGTTATAATTAAAAAGAATAATGTAACTTTGCCAAAAGTTATTACTAAAGATCTGAGCACAGATCAAAACTATCTGTGAGAAAAAAGTGCAGTATTCTAAAGTGAGTGTTCACTTGCTCTTTCAGAAAACCTTTAGCGATATTAAATGACTCTATATGGCTGACAACAGTGAATAGACTTCTACGGGTGTATATTGTGAGCAAGGATCTTTGATAAATTTGAAAAAGTCACCTACATCATGACATTTTATTTAACATTTATTTATATAATTTTAACAAACCTTATTGTTAAATGGGCTAAACAATTGACAATCAATTTTAAAAGAATTACACGACATATCAATCAGTTGTCAAACTAGTGGTTGAGGTTTTACTTACTGTTTGTAGAAAACATTCACAAGTTTTATTCGAACTCATTGACATGCACAACATGTAATCTCATTGCTTAGCACAAAGTCAGAGTAAACTTCAAAATTAATTCACTAGAACTGAATGTAATAGCAGATTTTTAAAAACTGGATTATGGGTATTTTAATAATGTGTAAACATATATATATATATATATATATATATATATATATATATATATATATATATATATATATATATATATATATATATATATATATATATATATATATATATATATATATATATATATAATGCAAGATAAAAGACAACAATGTTTTTAAAAACAGACAAACATTAATGTTTTTATTTTATTTTTTAAAAATAAAAACATTTTGAATATTTTTATTTTTTACTGTAAAACATGCGCAGTGTGTTGCTACATCGACTAGTTGCTACATCGACAGTGTGTTGCTATATCTCCTTTGCAAGACAGGCTATTTGCCAGTCAATGTAGCAGAACTTTGTTGTGAGTCAGGCTATAAGATAGTTGATGTAGCAACAATCCGCACATATTTTACAGTTAAAAAATAAATAAAAAAAACATTTAGAATGTTTTAATTTTTAAAAAATTAAAAAAAAACATTCATAATGTTTTTAAAAATATTCAGAATGTTTTTAAAATCATTCTAATCTTTTAATTTGTGGTTTTGTGGTTTAATTACTTCCTGCAATTAAATTAATGCGTTTTGACATAATGTAACCTTAATTTTGTCAGCTTTAATACCACAAACAAGCTAAAAGCCGCTTTTTACCACAAATTGTATATCTAAGCCCTTTACCTATATATATATATATATATATATATATATATATATATATATATATATATATATATATATATATATATATATATATATATATATATATATATATATATATATATATATATATATATATATATATATATATATATATATATATATATATATATATATATATATATATATATATATATACATATATATATATATATATATATATATATATATATATATATATATATATATATATATATATATATATATATATATATATATATATATATATATATATATATATATATATATATATATATATATATATATATATATATGACATATATATATATATATATATATATATATATATATATATATATATATATATATATACTAAATTTTATAAATAAAAGTTAACCCTCGTTCACAACTTTCTTTATGCTTTCCGCGAATATGCCAGTAACTATTATGATCATCAGATGATGTTGATCCTGTAACAGACTAAACAAAAATTTAAAATTGTTTTAAATGCAAACACTCGTGTAGTTAAAATTCCATCCTTGCTACATATGATGTAATAGGTTATATCAATACCATACTAAGAAGCAGTTGTGTTGTTAGTAGATAAAAGGAATAACTTACTACACCATATAACCAGTAAAGCATGTACACAAAATAAATGTGAAAGAATAAATATGTCATTCTTTTTTTAGTGGTTGTATTAATATACTTTTAGTTGTGTTTGTATTTTGTTTACAACATGTTGTAGTTTCAAAAAAATGTTAAAGTTTCCTATTTAACTTGAAATAAGTTTTAAAAGTGACAAGAAAAGAATACATTAGAGAAAAAACTATGCACAAATATTTAAAAAATCTAAAGAAAGGCTAAAATTTGATAGTGAAAAGAGATGCAAATACATCTCTACACTGTTATTTGTATTCAGCATTTTCCCTTAATAAAACCAATCAAATGCAATTCTGGGGTGGAAGCAAGAAGGGTTTGAAGATATAAAACTGGTTGATAGCTTAAAGATTAACCCAAGCCTTTCACTATAAAAAAAGGCAAAAAGGTACAGATGTTCTCATAGCTTCTTTGTAAAAGCTCAAAATAAACATAGTCTTCATTGTTTCATATCACAAAAAAGCGTCTAACCATTATGAAATTCTAAAAAAAGTGCAAGAACCTGCTGAAAATGTTGTATGACAATTATATTTCTAAAGTTTCTGTATTATTGAAGATGATGAACCTTATATGAAGTACAATCATCAGCAAATTCCTGGTGCTACCTATTATATTGCCAAATATAGAGGAAAAGTAGATAAGAAATTTAAATACACTAAACATGATAAGTTTGCTAAAAGCTTTGATTTGGCAAGCTATTTACATGGGTGGCAAAAAATCAGCACCCATTTTTTCACATTTTCTGGTAAAATTTATCTGGTAAAATTTATATTAAAAAATGTTTACAAAAACATCTTTTATCTCTCATTAAATCACATGGTAGTAGACATATTTTGACCTGATTTAGCAATAAGTGGTTATAGTAAACTGGCTATAAAATGGTATAAACAAAATAAAACAGTAAATCCTCTAAACAATGAATTGATTGTTATTGAAAAAGTACTGGGCAGTTATTAAACAAAAAATAAAAAAAAACTATGCACATTAAAGATTTAAAAATGTCATTTAAAAAACATCAAATAGTTTTGATTATTTTTCTTGTACTTATGGGTACCACCAAAGCAAAGGTTCGAAATTTTATTAGATGCCTATAGGAACAAATTAATTTCTTCGAAATATTTTATTTCTTATATTAATCTATTAAAATTTTTACTTGGTACTAAATAAAAAATGATTAGTAACTTTTTTAGTAATTTTTCTACTTTCACATTTATTTCGTGTACACACTTTACATTATAGTATTAATAATTAAAAGCAAACCCCCTCCCCCAAATTTTGATTCTAAGCTAAAAAAAAATTAACATTGATACTAAGCTTAACCCCTACACCCCCTTCCCCTAATTTTGATTCTAAGTCAGAACCTCAAAAAACTTTTGAGGGTTTTGTTGAGATTCTGACTTTGAGGATTTTTTTGGATAATTTTTCTTAGCAAACTAAATACACTTAAAATATTCTAGCTTTAAATTTAATTTTAGAAAAATACTTCATAAAAATAGTATCTTTTTGCCATGAAACTATACAAATTATTATTACTATAAAAATTACATAAGATGCTAACCCTAGCTCAAAAATTATTTATTTTAAAAAAAACCTGTTGACCACTGCTACCGCCACCACCATACTTAACATCATGAGAATGAAGACGAACACCTTGTCGCTGATTAAATAATTTTAAAACTGATCCACAAGTTACAAACTGAAAATCTAAAAAAAAATAAAAACTATTTTCTTACAGAATTGTTTTAGTTCAAAACAAGTACAAAGATAAAACTTTAATTTAAACCAATAACCCAATCTTTATCTTCAAAAATTTTCAAAAAAGAGTTAAATGGACCAGCCTCTTGAGGTAGTTTAGTCTGTCTCAAACATAGTTACCCCAGCATAACCTAGTTGTACTATGAACATTCATATAGTCATTGGTTTTATTTTTAAATGCATTACTGATATTGTTTTCTTGTGAATTACTTTTACATATGCATATTAAGTTAGAACTAATAATTTCTAAACTTTATTCTAGCTTATATTTTTTCAAATAATGTTATTAACTGGTGATAAATATGTTGAGTATATAAATCAGTTCAATATCATATTAATTTTACATTAGACAGTACCATTTCCCACCTTCCATTGCTTGTGCCTGCCCTGAGGAGGGTAATGCAAACCAGATTCCACCTTAGGCAGCATTTTTTTAAAGGCAGAATTCAAAAATAATACTATTAGAGAAATTCTGCCTGTGTTTAAAGCATTTAGGGGAGTGAAAACCGTAAGATATGGATGCACAATATGTTTATCATAGAAGAATATCTTCATATTTTCCTGACGCACACAACCTAGAACTTCTCAAGTCTTCTCTTAAACTCTATTTTATGTTTTCTAGTAACTTAATAGTGGTGGCCTTGAATCATATACTATATATATATATATATATATATATATATATATATATATATATATATATATATATATATATATATATATATATATATATATATATATATTTATATATATATATACATATATATATATATATATATATATATATATATATATATATATATATATATATATATATATATATATATATATATATATATGTATATATATATATATATATATATATATATATATATATATATATATATATATATATATATATATATATATATATATATATATATACAAATAGTATTGCATACTAAATAAACAAACTGACGTCATACTGAAATAGCCTGCTGCTGGGGGCTTCAGTACATACATCCACTGACAAATAGCCTGACTCACAGTGGAGTATTGCTACATTGACTGAGGGTTTGGGATGGAGCAGCAATCATTTCATTCATCATTCTTCGTTTTTATTCTTCTTTTTCTAAAAAAGCCATATGGGTTTAGGTAAGCAAAAAAAGTGAGCAAATGCTTATAAAAATATGCTTTAGTAAGTGTGTGTATATATATATATATATATATATATATATATATATATATATATATATATATATATATATATATATATATATATATGCACACTTACTAAAGCGTATTTTTATAAGCATTTGCTCACTTTTTTTGCTTACCTAAACCCATATAGCTTTTTTAGAAAAAAAAGCCATATGGATTTAGGTAAGCAAAAAAATTTATTTTTATTTTTTAATTTTTTTTTTAGGTGCCCCAAGAAGTCCTTAGGGTCTTATCACAGAGCACCGCAGATGAGCATTTAATTAGAAGTTCCTTCCTAACTGATGTTACTAAACTGAGGTGAGGTTTGAACCACGGATCCTTTGTTTCAGGCAAGTGTGCTACCACTTGCCTGAAGATATATCAGGATGTAAACTATGATATAAATCAGGGTGTAAACTAGCCCTTTGGAGCCCTATTAAACGCAGTATTCCCAAATGTTCATAAAATTAAAATTCCCGATTTACAAGTAAAAAAACCCCATTCTTCAAATAAAATTTGCCAAATTCAAGTTTAATAATATAGTACAAAATATAGTACAAAATAAAAAAATTACAAATTTGTTTGGTTTAACACCCTCAAATGCTATTTCCTTAAAAGTTTAGCCTTTTTTGACTGAAAAGTTAAATAAGTTAAATAAATGTTTTTTAATTATGACAAACTGGTTCTAGAAATTTATTTAATGAGGAAAATAGATTTACTTTACTGGTTGCTTATATTTAAAACGTAAATTAAATGTGTATATTAAAATGTAATTTAAATACCTTTAATAACAAGAATGTTGTTTTTTTTTATTACAACAAACTGGTTTTTTAAAAAAATACAAATTTAAAAAACAAGAAAATTAGATTTTTAAAAAAAACAAATTTAAAAAACAAGAAAATTAGATTAATTGTTTCCTTATTGTATGACATCAGGGTAAAATAATCTGAAAAATATCTTTAAAGTTAAGGAGGGGACAAAAGCTACTTTTATGAATAGTGAGAGGGTGCGCATGGCCCTCTCCACCATCGCTTCCGCTGCCGCTGTTACACCCCTATCGCAGGTCCTGACTTCTTCAACTGTTACTACTACTTTGAGTGTTGGGTGATGGGGGAAGATGCTTTCACTTACAAAATTGGTTGTTTTTTTTCAAAACTTGTTATTTCTTTTCAAAAATTGTTAATTTTTGAAACAAAATGTAAAATCTCAAAATGTAAATATACAAACCTGCAATAGCAATATTTTACTTATTACCTTTTGACCATATAAATTTTATGAAAGTATAAAAAAAGTCGAGTCCCCACAGGAGCAGTGGCGGATTAAGACTTCTTGAGGCCCGAGGCTATATTTGTTTTTGGAGGCCTTTTTATGGGCCAAAGCCTAACAATGACTAGAAAAAAAAAGATCCTCTAAAATTTTTTTTGGGCCTCTATATTTGCGGGGACCGGGGCTATAGCCCCCCTTAATCCGTCACTGCACAGGAGGGGTAAGAATAAAAACATCACATTACCCATGTAACTTTAAAAAAATAAACTACAAAATCAAAGCAAAAATTTCTTAATAAAATTCAATAAATTATAAAGAAGACCATAAGAACTTAAACTATATGTAAAGATGGTGAAAGTTAACTTGTATATATTATGGTTGTATAAATAGTACATATAGGTTAAACAAATGCGGGAAAAAAGTTTGTAAAGATTTATATTTAAATCGTATCCCCCAACATTACAATATAAATTTATCCTCAAACAATATAATGTCACAGTATTATAAATTTTATCCAAACATTACAAAATCAATTTCATTAAAAAATATAATAATATATTATCTACAATCATAATAGAATTAGAGGAAGATAATAATTAGTGGCATTAGAGCAAAAAACTAAGTTTTTAAAAATATGCTAAAAACCTAAGTATAAAAGAGTTTTTGAAAAGGTTTAAATTAGGTACTAAAATAGATTTTAATTAATAATCTTTATAATAATTAATAAATTTTTCCTTTAACAAACTCCACAAAGATACATCAAAATCAATTTTATCCTCAACAATGCCATGTAGGGTCCATACAACAAAGTATGTAACACTACACTTTGCAACATACATTGGGTGTAATAAGTATGGTTAGTTTTAAGTTTTACATCAACACCCTCTTTTATTAAACATGGTAAATTTAATTATGTTGGTGCAGTAAAAATAATCTTGTAAGGACATTTCACCTCAATACATGCATTAGGACAGCAATCACATGACATTATTTGATCTGGACTTGCTCCAACGTAAGGATGTTCATAATCAAGGTATAGTCCACATTCATTTAAATCAAGATTTTTATGATGTCCTTTCATTTTTACAAAAAACGCATTCACAGCTTCAACTTCCATCATACGCCCATATTTTAAGGCTGGAATATTAGAGTTAGTAAATGTCAGCCCTGATATTTTTTTGGTTAAGTGACCAAAAGTTATGGTAACCAACAACAACTTTTTTACTTTTATCCATACTCGTTGCTACCTTGTGAGCTTTAGAGTCAGTTATAATACTTTTTCGATAGTAATACCAATTTTCATTTTTATTTTGCCCTCGTGTTACTAATTCTATTTGTTTTATATTTTTGGCTGACATGTTTACTTCTAAACCTGTAAAAAATTCAACACAACATGAAGAGGTAGAAATTAAACTGTTAATGCTTAGCAAATCAACTGGTGCAAATAAAGTCTATTTTTGGTTTTGGAACAGCAGTAAACAAAATGTTTGTTGGCACGTTTTTCTCAAGAGCAGAAGTTACATCATTGATATTTAATAATTGTACTATATGATTCGATCGAGGATTATATTTTTCTTTTTGTGTATCTACTAACTTTCTCTTTTTTTACCTCTTTCGCTAAAATCTTTACAACTAAAGTCAAGGTCTTTGATTTTAAAAGGCGCTACTTCTTTTCTAGATGGCAGCCATTCATTTGAAGTGCTTGTACATGCAGGGTTAGTTAATCCATTTATTACAGCAGCTTCCACTCTATACATTGCTGCAGCAACATGGTTACAAGTTTGACCCATGCCAGCCATGCATGTAGAATGACAGGCTTTAATTTTAGCACTTTTTTCTAATACTAGCCACAGTTTATGATATGTATCATTGATAGATTGTGATCTCCGACATTCTGATTTAAATATACAGTAATTACTACCTGCTAAATTACGATACATAAGAGGCTGAAGCCAGGAAGATTTATAGTAGCTGTATGCTTTTGAGTTTTTATAGTCACTTAAGTCATTACTTCCGAGTTCTGAGGGATTAAACATTAAATAGTTAAATATATCTGGATATAATAACATTGGCCAGAATGGCATACCCTCCTGTTCGTCCATTCAGCCATCAAGAATTTTGAACTTCTACTGCTGTTTATATTGGTAGAACATTGTTTTCTATTGCAGCAAATACATGAGCAACTAGCTCTTCTTTTTTACCATTTAATTTTGATCCTCTTAACTTTAAATAGTTTTTTAACTCTTCAACCCTCATCTTTGAAATCATATTGTACTCCATGATTAATTTTATAGTAAATATTTGTTTTAGCAGTTTTAGTTAGATGTTTATACTTCGTTTTCTCAAGCAAATATTGTCGCGGAAGTATTTTTTTAACCCTCCTATTGGAGTTCAGACCTCTTAAAAATGACATATTTTAAATTCGCTCAATCGGTGTATTCTGAAATTTTAATTACAAATAAAATTGAAAGTGAAAGTATATTCCTTCTTAATGACTTAAGTTTTCAAGGCAATAAAAATCTAGATTTTATATTTTTAAAGGTATTTTGTCTGGATTCTCAACTACAAGCTTGATTCTTACTGTTTCTACAAATGTTTTTAGTCTGTAGATTCTCTAAACTGTTTTTTTCAAAACAAAAAGGAATAGTAATTGACTAAACTTTTAGTCTAAAGTTCACAAAATGGAAATGTGTAAGAAGGTTATCATTTTTTTTTTCAATTATTTTTTAAATACGTCAATTACATTTTTTTCAAATATGCCAACTCTTTCCTTCAGCCCTCCTGTAAGATTTTCAAAGTAATTCAAACTCTCCTTTAAGATTGAATCATTCTTTTAATCAGTTGTTTTCAAAACAGTGCTTTCAAATTTTATCCTTTAAATACCATGCTTTTTGTCGATTGGATTGGGAACACTTTATAGCCAAATCAAGTTCTTTTTATAATTTTAAATTTATTTGCAACAAATAGTTAATCTCACAATCCTTTTTAACATCCTCTTTTTTTTTACTTTTCGGACATTATATTTTAATAAGATTGCTTAATATTAAATTTTATATTCTTTACATCTTTTATTAACTTTTCTAATTTGATATTTGAGGTGATTAAATCAGGAAATTCAAGGTGATTAATCAAATCATAAGATAATAAAGGTAGTTGTTGATCAAAATTGGAAACTGGGAGATTCTCTTTATTTACTTGAGCTTTAAGAAGACAATCATCAGAATGACTTGTTAAAAGCTTGTCTACAATAGAAGTTTAAGTAACGGAGCTGGAAAAAACATCATCAGCAGTTTTCAAGTTTAAATCAGAAAATAAACTTAAAGAAGCACAAACATCTTTTGGAACAAGTTCTAGAGAATTTTTTCCAGATGTTTGGCTAGAAGTAGGGATAGAACAATTAACAGAATGTACCAAATCATCAACTTTGTTAAACCATGCAAGATTGACTTTTTATTTTAAGTATCTGTATTTCCAACAAGGCTGAAAGCAACCACTTTTAGAGGTCAAAGCTACTGGAAGACCCAAGATGAAAATTATAAAGCAAGATAATGATTAACAGATGACTTAAAAGATTGCAAATAGTATGAGTCAGGAAAACAAGATGAATGGAGAGTATTACAAAAAACGGATGTGTTAGGAAAAAAATTAGACGAATAAGAATTTTTGGAGCACTTAGGAACAATAAAATACTATATTGTTGTATACAATATAGTATTTTATATACTATATTGTATACTAACTTTGCAATGATTTGTATATAAGGTTTTCATAAAAGGTCAGTACAAAAAGATAATCAGAGAGGATGTAAAGTAGAAGAAACAGTAACAATGCTGCCATTCATCAATATAGGAATACCAACAAGATTGCAAAGACTTTTTAAAGACTTCAACAGATACACTATATCATTCAGAGCAATAGAACGTGCCTCACCGCCTCTATCTAATAATATTTTTAAACTTCTCTGTAACAACAGTTAACAGGTCAGCTCCAAAACCAGATGATTGAAATTGATATGATTCTTATGTCATCAACAAATAGAGCCACTTGTGAGTTTTTCAGGATGATCGTTAATGTTGGTTAGAAATGGTAAATAGCTGAGGATAGAAGTTAACCTTGTTAGTTAATTATTGACACTAGCGTGAATTGGCAGCGTTTAGTGCCACAGGGTCTGTGTGTTTTGTGATTGTGATGTTATTTTTGTGATGTTTTGTGTTGATAGACAACTTGGCTAACCTTCTCACTGGTGTCTATCGTTAAAAATGATTATTAGATTGTTTTGTTACTGAAACTTTCTACTTCTAATAATTCACTAAAAGCCAGGAGATAAGTTTTAAAATAACAAAAAAATTTGTTTTAATGTTGTTTTCATTTTTTCATCTTAAGTGTTATTAATAGTTCACATAAACAATCTCAAAGAGTAAGTTTCTTATTTTATATTTATTTAGTTTAAATTTATAACTTTTTTTTAATTTTTAACTTTTTTTAATTTTTAATCGGTTTGTAAATTAAGCAATAGTTTTAAACAGATGGATTAATTGGATTCCATGATCCTTCATGCATATTTGTGTGGAGTTTTTTTAATATAAACCGAAATTTTTTTCTAAAAGACTAGGTAAATAAGTAAAAACACTTCAGTATGTAAAATAAACAATTCTGGATAATTTCGACAGACGCAAAAAAAAATTATGGTATTTTATTTTTTCTAAGTTATGTATCCCTATCAAAAATTTCAAGTCAAATGTAATAACAATTAGAAATTATAAAATATTTCAAAAGTCAAATTGCCCAATTGGCTTGTGCAACCCTTTTGCAGTAATTTACTGACCCATCTGTACATTATGCTATAATTTTAAAGTGATGTATTTTTCAGATTCCATGATTCCTTTATGCAAATTTGCATATTGTAACCCTAATTTTAATAACCCTGATTTTTGCTCTTCATTAAATAATTATATAAATAAAAACACTTCAGTCTGTAAAACAAAAGATTCTGTTTGATCCCAACAAATTTAATAAAAACTTGATCACTATTTAAAATTTCGAGTCAAATATAATAGTGGTTTAAAAATATTAAATATTTAAGGTCGATATGCCCAATTGGTTTGTACATCCCTTTTTCTGTAATTTAATGCCAGGTCTGTAATTTATGCAATAAAAATACTGACAAGTCTGAAAATTATGCAATTGTTTTTAAATGATGTATTTTTTGGATTTCATGGATTACTTTATGCATAGTGCAACCTTAATTTTTTTCCTTCATAATACAATTAAATAAGTAGAAACCCTTCAGTCTGTAAAATAAACAATTCTGGATAATCCTGACAGATTTAATAAAAACTGGATCACTATTTAAAATTTCAAGTCAAATGTAATAACGGTTCAAAAGTTATTCAAAAGTCATTATGGCCCTAAAAATATATAAATTAGTAAAAACCCTTGGTCTGTAAAATAGATGATTCTGGTCAATCCTGACAGGTTTTTATAAAAAAATTTTGGATTTTTATTTTGTTATAGTTGGTTGGTCACTATGGAAAATTTCAAATCAATACCTATACGATACTTTTTGTCAAAAAAAAAACATTTTTTCACTACAAAAAGTTTAATAACTTTTGATCTGCTAAACTTTAAAGGCCGAATGACCCCTCATTTTTTAAGTCAAACTAAGCTCTATACAATGACATTATAATTTAAATATTCAAATATTTGAATTTGAAATTATAAAAAAATCTTCTGGAATGGCTAAAATGGAGTGTGAAATTGATTGTGGTGTATCATTTAGGTTAATTTTGTAATAAACAGCAGTTAGAAAACTCTTTAATATCAATTGTAGTTTTGCCAATTAAAGTTCATGGAGTCTTTTAACGAAATAAAAACTTAAAAATGCCTCAACTTTTTCCAGTCTCCTACACATAAATAAAAAAGCAAATGATCTTGATCATTTGATAATTTTAACGAAAGAAAAGCTTAAAGTTGAACCATTAAAAAAAAATTCAATCTGATTCTTTCTAATAACTCTAACTAAACAATTGAATATAACTTCTGAAAAAAATTAAATTATATACATTCATACTTACACACACAAAATTATTTACAAAACAGGCTGTTTGCGAATTTAATCATGTAAAAGAAGTTTTTATAAATAACTTCATACCATTTTTGCATTCAGCAAAATTAAGAACAATCGCCTTTAGAAAAAAAGATATTGTGCATAACTTAATGATATTTTTTAAATTCATTACTTCTGATTGCATTTCTAGAAACTAAATTTAGCAAATATAATAATTATAAATAAAGAAATATCAGTAAAACGGCGTCCAACTCTAACTTTGTTTACCAAATTTCTATGGACTGCGAGGTACAACCACTTACATGCCGCAATCTTATTGGATATTATTATGAAGTAAAAATTAATCCCTATACATTTATGTCGCTTTTTTACATGACTTCTTTTCTTTTTTTTTTTTTTTCTTTTTTTTATTGTCAGAAGCAGTGGTGTTCCTAGTTATGGTGTCACCCGGGGCGGCAAATAGGGTGTCACCCATATATTATATGTAATTATTTTTATATACGAAATTATTAAAGCAGTATTTAGAAACGTTGACACATGTAAATTTAAACCTTGTTTTCGACAATAATAATTTAGTGGCTATAACAGAGAAAATAATTATTTGAAAATAAATTGTTGCCAAATAATTATTATCTCTGTTTTAGACGATAATAAATTATTATCATCTAAAATCGTCTAAAATCAGCTTTATTCTTTCATATGCTTAAAAAAACAGTAGTACCTAGATTTGATTTGATAGTAAAGTATAATAATAAAATAGCAAACCTACTGAAAAAAAGAAAGCTTAGCGATTATATTTTCTAAATAATGATAACTATATCTTTCAGCATTCAGCATTTCGTAGGTCGTGTAAATAAATACCCACTTATTTTTTTATGTAAGACTGTTTAATTATAAACAAAAATAAAATATAAGATATTAATAAATTAAAAAAATACAAGTTACAATAAGAAAACTACACCTAGTTTTGATTTACACTGGTTTTAAAGACTAGTTTGAGAACATTTCTCAATTGTAGACCCTTGAAAGCTCAAGCTCTTACAAATCACAAAAATATCTTTTATAAAAAAAAAAATCTTTTTTATTGATTACTGAGCGTACATTTAAAAATTGAATGAATTAGTTAAATCTATAGAACGCATACTATTAAAGATTAAAAAGATTAAAGCCTCAAATAGCTTAAACCTGATTTAGTTTCTTATATGATCTATTTTAGGAAGATAACTGGAAAAAGCCAAAATCAGACTATATTCAATTCAATTCAATTCATATATATTCTGAAATAGTTGTTACATTCACGGAAGTTTACAAATAGTACATGTACTAATCTTAAGTAAAAACCTTGTAAATAAAAGCTAATAAGTATATTGATTAATGTTAATAGTAATATTAATCATCCACAGCAGTAACAAAACGAACATTAAAAGTTGAAGGAGTAAAAATACTAATAAAGATAATAGTAAAAGTTGTAATTGTAACAGTAATAACAATACAATAATAAAAGTACAATGATCCCAGTAAGAAAAAGACGTCAAGCCGTAGTTGTAATTTGGTTGTATTTTGGTCGCGACGCAAGTTAACTAAATTCCAACGATGTTCCAACGTCGGTATAACGGTGTTGTTCTAACGTTTGCTATCAAACGTTCGAACAACGTCGGAAAAACTTTATCATCTCAAGTCTTGAATGCTAACATTAAAACGACGTTGGAACAACGTTGGTTGTTTAACGTAAAACCAACGTTAGTCTGATTAACGTTGGAACGACTTTGGAACAATGTTGCTTTTTTTACGTTTTTACTTTTGACATCAAAGCAACGACAGCTTTCTAACGTAAACTCAACTTGATTTTACGAACTTGCGCATTTTTAAAATGGTTGATAAACCGTTATCGAAAAAGATGTGGTTTTTAATCTGGTTTTTAGGCATTATATTCTGTGATACTAATAATTAATACATTATTTATTTATATTCTACATTCGAATTAGATATTAAATTTTTATCATATTAATGATAAATAAAAGTTACAAAAACTTTATTTGATTTTCAAAAACTGTTGACATTTTTGTTATGTTTTTGTATACTTTGTATATTTAACATTACTTATATAGTAAAAATTTCTAATATATATAATATTTGCACATAATATTTTATTTACAAATAGATAATGCAATGATAGGTTTTTTAAATACCCTTTATTAAACTATTTGCAGTTTAATTAAATGCCAATAAAATTACAGAGGCTTTTTTTTTATGACATTTAATTCAGTTGTCTAAGACAGTTGTAAGTTGTATTAAAACAAGGTTTTTACTTAATATACATAATATATTAAGTATAAATTTAAGACAATTAAGTTATATTAAGACAATGTCTTAATCATAATATATATTTTATTTATTTGAATGAAAAGTTTTTTATTTTGTTGTGGAACTAGACTAGATATTACCTAATAAGCATCTTATAACTTGTGTAATGTGTTTCTTTTACGAATTTGTATATTGGCACAATCATATCATGCTATTCCTACAATTATATAACTCACGCTGACTCTCATAAGTTTGAGTCTCAAGTCACAAAAAAGAATAAACAATTTTTTATGTATTTGTATTAAATTATTTTTATTATTTTTTTTTTACTGTTATTCACCTCCGGGTTACTAACAGGAACATGGTAAGGATAGAACTCATAACTTCTCACTATGAAGCAAGCGAAAAACATATCCTACAGAAACAGCAACAGAACATCTAAATTTTAAACTAGATCTTAGTCATAATAAACAAAATATTTATTTAAATCAATACACACAAAGTGTTAGATGATATACACTCAGTCAGTATTTAATTTTCAAAAAGAATCACAATCTCATGTTTCCCTAATTTCAGAGTTGAAAGAAAGAGCTGATTTTGGCCATAAAGGCTTTAAACAGTGCTACAAATAAGGAGGCTCCTTTTTATTTCAATTGTGGTTATAACCCCCTCTCAACTCAATAACTCCTAAGTATTTCAATAAAGTACATGTTAAATATATTTGTGTGTAGTTTTTGTATATGATATGTGATATGATATAGTTTTTAAAATTGATATGTTATACCAAAATACATACACACCCACATATATATATATATATATATATATATATATATATATATATATATATATATATATATATATATATATATATATATATATATATATTTATATATATATATATATATATATATATATATATATATATATATATATATATATATATATATATATATATATATATATATATATATATATATATATATATATACATATATATATATATATATAATAGTACTATCATTTACTTATTCTCTTATCTTTCTAACCGAAAAACTAATTAATCTTATATTTTAATAAAACTCATGCCAAGTTAAAATATATATTTTTTGAATGTTATTATTTTTCTTCAATTTTTATGTGCAGAGTTAAAGTACTAAGTTATCAAGGTGTTTAAAATCAGAACAAGTCGACTTAAATATACATAATCACATTATTTAATCTTAAACTTAACAATAGAATATTTGAACGAGTTTACACTAAGAATTGGTAACAAAGGTTTTGCTCAACAGTTTGTGAGTTTGATTTCAACACCTGGACAATGTATTTTAACGCCCAGCTTTTAAAACAACAAAAAATTTACAATCACTTTTTTAAAATCAATCTAAATCATTTGCTGTTACAAATTATGTCATCCTATTTATTCAGCATATAAATACTTTTAAACATTTTAGATTGGTTGCAGCCTTACAAAGTTGTGAAAAACAATATTGAATAATTCTAATTTTTTAAAATTTTATTTCCGTTACAAAATTTAGTGAATAAAAATGTTTTATATTTATGAGTTTGCCATGATTGCTCTGATTGAATCATGGCAAAATACTTATTCAGTTCTAACTGTTTATTAAATAAGCTTGGGTCTTTAAGGCTTGACCTTGGTGAATACAGTAAAAAATATTTAAATAAGATCTTATGTGTAAAACACTTCAATGTGCCTTTTTTATATTTTTTTCTTTTTTAGGCCAAGTTTTTTAGGCGGAAAGTTACCAAAATATGTTAAGGACTTAATTCAGAGGTAACTTTTCAAGGGTTGAATTAACGCATCGCGATTTGCGATATCTGTTAAATTATCTGGTCTTCAAAGTTTCAGTTTATGGAAAACCACGAAATTTACGGAATAGGCGAATAAACTTTAATTTCTTAGTGAAAATGTTATGAAAAACAAAACAATAAATTTATGACTACAAAAGTAATAACACTACAGTGTTGTTACTTTTATAACACTCTTTTAAGTTACATTTATAGTTTATTGTTTGATCAAACAACACCTAGTCAAGATATTAAAAATAAAAATGATTTAGTTAAGTAATTCCAAACTTTAATTAAAGTAGAAATGCATTTAAAAAAAATACAATGGATATTTAAACAATGTTAAAAACCTCACCAACTTTTACGAATACACATTTTTATAAACAGTTTAGTATTTTTAAACATCTTACTAACGGTCCAGAAAAAACGCGCGTTCACTTTAAAATCAACCAATAAAAACACTGGTAATTTACTTCTTAGGAGAAATCTATATTAAAAGGGGAGGGGGGGAGGCTAAAAACTTAAATTTTGTTTTATTATTTAATCAATTAAATCATAATAAAAGTAAAGACAAAAAAATATATTTCTAAATATACTTCTTTATAACTAAAATTTATTAAATTGAACACCTCTGTTTTTAGTTTTAAGTAAATGTCAGTACTACTCTCAGTGGCGAAACTGCGGGGGGTCTTTGGTTAACAGACAAAAAGTGTCCTATTTTTAAACTAATTTTAGGTTGCATGGACGATATGGGGCTCATTTTGAAAATCGTGTTATTTGTTTATAACAAGTCACTTGTTATAAACAAAAAACTATATCTCAAAACAAAAATTCAGTGAAAATTGGCCTTAAAATTAAAAAATATATATATTGGTAACCGATAAATAATAAAACATATATTGTAAATCCTCCCGCTTTTTTTTATTATTTCCTCCTCCCATTTTATACATCCTGACTAAAAAATTCCCACCCTCACCTACCTTTGTATTAAGCACATTAGAGTAGTCAGTAGCAAATTCCCCCCCCCCCCTCCGCACGATTTTCAAAATGAGCCCCATATCGCCCATGCAACCTAAAATTAGTTTATATTTTTATTTGTTTTATGTATATTCACTAAATATACAAATTTTGAATTTCAGAACATTGAAGGCATTATGAATAAATGCAAAGATTTTGTTAATTATTATTTTAAT